CAACTTTGTGGATTGGTTGAAGTTAGACATTAACACCGTTGGATGCCGGCTCAGTGGTCTAATGGTTAAGTGCTCGCGCGTGAAGCCAGTAGGTCCTGGGTTCGAGCCCCGCGTGGTGCAGGATCGTGGATGCGCACTGCTGAGGAGTCCCATACTAGGACGAAACGGCCGTCCAGTGCTTCCAGGTTTTCAGTGGTGGTCTAGCTTCAACTGACTCATGATTTCAATCTGTGAAAAAAACTGCTTTTGTTTATGTTCAGTGTCTATCATTTATCACGCTAGAAAAGACACTTTATCTAAGGATCAGTTTTCGCTGTGAAATCACATAACAAATTCATAGTGCAAGTAAAACATCGTTGTGGCAGAGCTGGATGCTCTGGTTATTCTACTCTCATAAACGGCTTTCCTTATTCCAACCCTGACTACCCTTCCTTCATTCGAACTTACTCCACCATGGTAAATATCACAACTTATTGTTCTTTATTACTGCACTCCCTCATTTGGAGCCTCTGATCACATTTCACTCTCGCTAAAAAAAATCTAGTATGAATTTAACCCAGTAATTTATCTTACCTCTGTCTATTCCACTACAAAATGTTAAGTATTGTTTAACGTTCAAACTCGAGTGCCCTCTCTTTTTTTCAGAATCTTTCTCTATGGGCACAGCTTTGGAATTTCTGACATGTGGAACAAACTGGACGTACGTGTTTTCCAAAGGTCATAATTCACACCAAGCGATCTACAAGTCTAATTTATAAGAACTATAAACTTTAAAAGTTGAATTGAACAAATAATTAGCACGACCAAAATTCTAACACAATTATGCCGGGATTGGATCTGCTGCGTAGCGTGAACGCGATACTACTTTGGAAAATATTTTGACGTTTACTCAGTCAATCTGAAGGAATGAACTGATATTCACTTTTATAGACTGTATCAATAAATGTTGCAATTTGTAGATCATGCCTACAAAAATGGCGCGTAACTGCCCTTGCATAAATATATTATATCTATATCTATAATTCGAATCCGGGAATCTCAGAGAAAATATGAAATGCAGTTGACATAATCTGCACTCAAGCAGTCTTAGAGACTATTCTCATACATAAATTACAGGACAAGAATGTAGCATTGGATTTCGAGCTTAATTAAAGAAGGGAATGAAGCTGAAATGATAGAGGATGATCAGGAGAACGCAGAGGCTATGAATAACTATTTTGAGGAATTTTTCACTCAGGAACTTCTAGACAAAGAACCAGACTCACCGATGGCTTTGATTGAAACGATAAACTTAATGCTCTTAGCACCCTAGACATGGAAAAGTCAACAGGACAGGATGAACTACACTGAAAATCCCGAGAAATATTGCATAATATATCTTGACCCTATTGTGGTGTTTGAATGGACTAATGATACCATTGCACTGGTTGAATGTTTGATTTCGAATTCTAAATACAATACATTCGTTGGTGCCTGTGTCTTCTTAATTCAATTGCGTTAATCCTGGAATTCCTAATTCATACGACAATCAGAATACTATATTGGCGTCGTGATGGAGCCTGCAATGGAAAAGTTGGATATTCATTCAACTCCTGAAGCTATTGAGGATTATTTGGAAAGGTTCGAAATCTCGGCTATGACCAAAGAAGATGATGAGGATGTTAATATTGTGTCACACTTCCTCACATTCATTGGGAGAGAAGCGTACAGCTTATTAAAAACTTTAGCATATCCAGAAAAACCTATCTCACTCCCTTATGCAACTCTTAAAGAGCTATTATTAAGTCATGTAAAATGCACCAGTTTTGAATGCCGTGAAAGGGCGAAGTTTCATAAGATGATTCGTCAAAATGACCAAAAGGCTCGGGAATTCATCCTCGAATTACAGAAAAAGCTGCCAAGTGTAATTTCGGTGATCAACTTCATGTGCAACTGAGAGATCGATTAATTGCAGGAATTAACATACCGAGTTTGGAAAGAGAGCTGTTAAGAATGCCAAGCTTCTCCTTTCAAGATGCTAGAACTGCATGTATTAACTACGAAGTAGTCAATGAACTTGATATCCAGTCGATGAAGGTTTCTAATACTTTGCTTAGTCGTCATGATTAACTACAATCTCAGGGTCAATCAAACTTGCGTTCATTTAACAGTGATTCCTATTCTCGTGTAAATATGAAAAGTGTTTCAACGAGGAATTACAAAGCAAATCACAGAGGTGAGATGAAGTTTGGTGAATGTTTATCATGTGGAAAGTTTCATGCTCGCAATCCATGTGTATTTCGTAATGCTAAATGTTTTAAATGTGGTAAGGTAGGACACATTCAGTCAGTATGCAAAGCTACTGTCCATTTTGCTTCAAGCTGTACTAAATCTTGTAATTTAAATTTAAATAATTCGGATGTTTCTAATGATCATTTATCTTTATCAACGATTTCAAAAGACAGTGCAGAGTCATATGACAGTTCAGAGTTAGATGAAATCCAGAATTCTTGTGAGACAACAGTTCCTAATCAACCGATTTATCAGAATTCTCATGCTATTGTACCAGGTATGACTTTTCCTAATGATTCACATATTTCTAATGAAATTACTTGCAATATTGAGGAAAACATGTTAAATGAACCTAATCATGATCGGAAACCTGATGTGGTTTGGATAGATGCTAGTTTTTCTAACTATCCTACGCTCTGCAATGACAGTCCTAATGAATTTCATGAGAATATTTCAGAAGAATCAAATCCCAATGTCGTATCATATATTACCTCTCCTCATAATGCATTTGATCCTTGTGAAAAACCTGCTCAATGCGAAGCACGAGTACTAAGTGACCTCGAGTTTGATTACATTTCGGATGATTTCATATCAACTGCTGTTTACCCTTATCACAAAAACAGTTCTAATGTTTACTCTAAACAATGTGAGAAATATGTTTTAAATGAAGGCACATTATTCATAACTTGGGGAAATAAAGATCCAACATTATTTCGTGGGGGAGGATAGGATTGAAAAATCTATGGTTCAAATTCTAGATATTAATGATTTCAGTACAAAACCGATATGCTGATTGTATACAATTCCAGGTGAGTCTGTTCCGATTTCGTTTGTTAATTCCAATACTAATGAGCACTTTCTAGATACTACAAAGCTTTTATCTTACACAATGTCGGACAGACTCAGGATGAACTTAACAAGAAGACGTACAACCGATTACAAACACTTATACTTCTATTTAAGCTGTGGCGGATGTGGTGTTTGAATGGACTAATGATACCATTGCACTGGTTGAATGTTTGATTTCGAATTCTAAATACAATACATTCGTTGGTGCCTGTGTCTTCTTAATTCAATTGCGTTAATCCTGGAATTCCTAATTCATACGACAGTTAGAATACTATACCTATTCACTCTGATATTCAGTATGTCACTTGACCAAGGTGTGTTACCTATGGACTGGAAGGACGCAATCGTCATTCCTAAGCATAAAACGGGACCAAAACCACTTCCTTTTTACTACAGACATGTCAGCTTCGCCAGTGTTGTAGTTAAAATATTAGAATATCATAATGAAATTTGTGGAAACCAACAACATGTTAAACAGCGAACATCATGGTTTCAGAAATAGTTTATCTTGCAAAACAAACCTCTACATAACAAGAGAGCTCTTAATGGAGGCACTAGACAACGGAAACTCAGTGGATGTTGTCTACATAGGCTTCATTAAGGCATTTGACAAGGTGCCAACAAATACACTGCTATTGAAGTTGGAAAATCTTGGTATTGCCAGGCTTCTCTTAAAATGGATTAAGGATTTCCTAGTACGTCGTAAACGGAGAGTAAGAATAAATCCCAATTGTTCCATCTGGAGACCAGTACTTAGTGGAGTACCTCAAGGTTACATCCTAGGTCCTTTATTTTTTATAATGTACGTAAATGATCTTCCAAGTATAGTACAGTCTCCAATGTTATTGTACGCTAACGATGTAAAGATCTGGTGGGCAATAACCGGAGATACAAACGCATGTGCTCTTCTGGCAGACTTAAATAATATGATTAACTGGACTAAAGAGTGGCTGATGCCTATCAATGTGGCAAAGTGTGTCTATATTTACTTTAGAGATACAAAGGTTATTAAGTACAGGATAGAGAAAGTGCCTGTACCCGTGATCCGGTTTCATAAGGATCTTGGGGTGACAGTGAATCATGATCTCAAGACCGCGGCCCATTGCCTGGAGGTCGTAGCTAAGCGGTTTGGAACCCCCTAGGCTTTAAGGCTGACATCCACCAAATTAGATACTACTGCGTTCACTACAATAAACAAAAACTCAGTAAGAACTAAGTTTGAAATTTACATTCAGGCTGCAAGCCCCTGTTTGAAAAGTGACTCGAATATCCTAGAAAAATCACAGAGGGCAGCTACCCATGCAATTTCAGATCTACGGTGTTTAACATGCAAGGAGCGTCTTGAAATCTAGGCACCTTTACTCTGTCCTATCGCAGACTAAGTGACGATCAAATTTCGACGTATAGAATACTAAGAAACGATTTTGGACCTAATATATATTCTCTTTTTCTTCCCACTAGGCTGGGACATCTCAAAGGACATAGCAGGCGAGTAGAAAAGCTATGAACGAAAAAATACCCTTGACATACACATCGAGTCATCAACGCTTGGAACCTGTTACCCGGAGCAGTGGTGTCCACACCTTCAATTGATTCATTCAGGTGAAGGCTGGAAAAAGGAATAACAGGCTGTAGGCATTCTGTACTACTACACAAATCTGAATCTTCTTTAGTATGATTGTTTAAAAAACTGATGGTCTACTGTTTGTGTACACGGTGTTTCGTTAAGCTAGGAGTTTTTTAATTTCTTCGCCAACCATTTGACCACTCAATTGTATGTCGTTATATTGGACGTGGCACGTCCTCTAATGACCTTGTCTGCATATGCATACATTACGAACTAAGTGGGAAGTTGTTGCTGTTCAGTGATCGTTTATGTCATGAAGTCTCTTCAGAATTTCGATGCTTTTGCAAAACCACTCAAAGACTTTCGTATCAAAACGCTGTCTGGAGCTTTGGGTATTTTGCTTGCATTTTTGGTCTAGCTCACTTCATCGTTTTCAGTTTCAATAATAAGTAGTCTAATCATCGGAATTTTGTTCACATCAGAACTTCTCTCGTTTACGCGCACACGGAGTAAGCAGGAGATTATTGTAGATGTCAACCGTGGAGAAAAGATGTCTATATACTTGGATATAACGCTAAACTTTATCCCGTGCAGATGTAAGTCAAGTTTGTGCGCCTTGGATGCAAACTTTAGTTTTAAGCCTAGATACAATGGACACGACGGGCGCGCAGCAGCTAAATGTTATGCACGAAGTTTACAAAACTAGTGTTTCAGTTGATGGCACTCCTTTATCGGATAGTGTTCGCCATGGTAAGCTCATACTCAATAATATTTTCCCAGCTGTAAATGATGCTTCGGCTATCACAACGACAAGAGATCCCAATTACTGTGGCTCATGTTATGGGGCAGAGTCTCCTTCAAGGAAGTAGGTCATAAAAATACTGAGTTTTTTATTAGTGTATATATTATTTGTAAGTTAAACTTGCGTTTTGTCTTCACTATGCCTACCTCAGTTATTTGCGTCAGATTAAGTAACGTCTATTTGACTGCATTCAGTATCAACTGCAGTGATAATTAAACTGTCGCCTTGAAATCTATTTCTCTGCGGACTCTTGATACGCTCGTGAATCGTCATAGAAATGTCTTTTCGATGAAACTATACCTTATAGATGCCCTTTGATTCAGTGTAGTGTAACTTTGAGAAGACAGATAAATTCTGGTGTCAAAAGGGTTTTGGATTGGGATTAGAATTTAGAAGTTAAGTTTAGGAATTACGGTAAAGGTTTTCATCACGAATTGACACCAGCTGTAATGATGAAATACTGTCTAACCATATAGATAAATGAACTTAGCGCTAGAATTCGAGACTTGCTATCGTTAATATCATTGATTCTCCCGTTAATTATGGTGTTGTAGTCTTTTCTAATTTTGAAAAGCAGTGATGTGTTTCTAGCTAAAGCAAAGAAATTATGCACACTTGCCCCATCCAAATTTCTTAAATATCTTGCTACACTAAACTCTGAGGATACTGTAATATCGTCTCTGCATGTCTTTTGAGGATCCTGAATTGATCTAAACTATCCTAAGTTACTTATTTTACAACAAGCTAGATAAAATTGTGTTGTTTCAGCATTTACCGTGTATCTTTATTGTGTTCAGTTCGTCATAAGCACTCTGCATATTGTTCCCTCGGTAACAAGCACCCTCCCTATCCCACGTTATTCAATTCTATTTTATACGTTTTGGCTATGCAATAGATGCACTTCCGATTGGGATTACCGCTGAGGCAAAACACATAGATCAGATGCTGGAAAAGTGTCTGTTGACGACTTTCGGAATCCCCGTTTATTTTACGTATATTTATGGCTACAGGTGGTAAAAATAATGATAACTTTATTGAATATGTATATATGAAGAATCAACTAGAATAGTTTTCACAACACTAAGTAGAAAGTATGCACCGTGTATTTTCGGAATCTAGCAATATGACAACAGCTTAAGCGGACAAGATGTACGTAGAGAGGTACGTTATGGTGAATGATAATCAATGTAACATATATTTCCCGAAGGGAGTTAACAGTTTGATTCGAACAACAGTTTGAAAACGGCAAGACGAATTGTACAAATGGGATGCTATGAACAATATTAGCAATCATGAAAATTTCGTAGAAGTCTAAGTTAACCATCTATATATGCTACCTGAAATAAATGGGACGATTGTTAGAGATACTAAGGTTTTATTGAACGTCCTGACTTATTGATCTAGATTCAGTAAATGACATTATTATAATGCAGTGGCTTTAAAATTTGGATACACTTCACCCTCCATCATTTCCATTCCCTTTTACTGAGCCTTCTACATATGCTTAGTAAATCAATCAGATTTTTGTAATGGTAACGTTAAATAATCGTTCTTTGTGCTAGGGTATCACCTCTGGTTCTCACGATGATTTCTCAGTTCATTCAGTCAGTCACAACGTAGAAAATGGTACGTATGTACATCGGTTTAATTTGTCATACCGCATTAGCACAGAGAGATGAAATTTTCAGACCAAATCTCAGAATAGTAGAGTTAGTAACATTATCTTTGGTAATAGGAAAGATTAGGCATCAAAAATACAACTCGAAAAAGATATAAATTAGTAAAATAAAAACTGGAAATTTAGGAATCCAGGATCTCAGGGATTGAGGGAAGGCAAAGAATCGATACACCCGTGTCAACCTATGTCATTCAAAGTCTCTAATCATTGGTTTTGATAATCACGCGGACCACACCCGAGCACTCTCCTCTTATTAACGTGGCTAAATTTAATTGTCAGTGGCATCTTGGACCGATGCAACGTTTTGGATTTTCCGCCCCTAGCTGTCTCTGAGCCTACTTCTACACCAGAAAACATTGTCAGTCGAGGAAGATAGTGGTTGGTATACGCAACATATGTTTCAACCACTTCAATTGATGAAGATTTACTACCTTCTCAATTAATTCCCCATATTTATTTAGTGCTATGATTCTGTGGTCCTAAAATACACGAGCAATGATTCGTATACACCTATGATCGAATACCAGTAGCCTACGAATATCTTATACTCTTAATGGCAGTTTCATATCCATAAAGTAAAACGGAGTGAACTGCTGCTCAGTAGACTTGCCTTTTGGTTGAAAGACGAATATCTCGACTACTCCACAAGTGACGCAAGTTGGCAGGAGCCAATGGAGCCTTATATGTCCGTGCTGAGATTTCGTCGGAAACCAGACCATCAGTACTGTGAGGCTCTCCAGATAAATGGAGCAGTCAATCCATTTAGCTACTTCATCCTCTATCACTAATTCAGGTGGTGACGTAAGCCAATCTCGAAGTGACAGTTTGCATTGGGAGGGAGAAAATCGCATTCCAAACATCCTTAGATTGTTGCTTAAAGTAATCGGAAGACTGTATTTTGTCAGTGCATCCAGCAAACAATACTATATAGTCTGCGTACTCTAAGTCGACAAGTGAATTTCCCGTTACAAAGTTAACCCCTGAAAAAGTCAGACGATGGATGTACTATCGCTAAAAGCATGTCTGACAAAATTAAATAAAAATTAGGAAAGAGGACAGTCCTGACGAACATCATTTGAAGTAACCAATTCCGATTACAGTTTGCTAAGCTCTGACTCGACCAGAAATTTGCAGGTAGTAAGTCTGTACAAGGTTAGTGTACTTCTTTGATACTCCTTTCAATGACAGACACTGCCACAGAACCTCACGATAAACAAAGTTGAATGTTGCCTTAGGATCAAGGAATACAACTGTAATCGGACGTCGGGGAGCATGTCTACGTTCCATAATTTGCCGGAGGGTGAATATTCGGTCTACATGTCCAGGTCCATGCCTGAAACCAGTCTGGTTTTCTCGGGTTCGCTCTTCAAGAGCTCTATTTAGATACCGAAGTATTGAGGCTAATATTTTAGATGCTATATTAGATAAATTGATTGCTCTGTGATTGTCACAAGAGGATTTTTATCGTTTCTTATGAACTGAAACGGTCAGCGATTGAGACCAGTCAGATGGACTACATCCAGTTTTTAGATGTTAGCTAGTAGTTCACTTATTCTAGTTGCTCAAACTGAGCCTCCATCCTTAAAATTCTCAGGGATTAGTTGATCAGGCCCCACTGTTCTCCTTCTCTTTGGATTTGTTATAATTTTTTGAACTTCACTAAGAGTTGGAGGACTTACATCAATTTGCCATTCAGGTTGCTTAACGCCAGCCAAGACTTCTCAGGGCACCAACCCAATAAGGCTGATGAGACTCGCAAGATAAGTGAAGCGGTCAACGCTTTATGTGAAGAATCTAGGTGATGTAATCGGTCCCGAAACAACATTTTTGATTTCTGGGGAAAGAAACTCTTTCCGAACATACTCGTTCAAGAGGCTGTGTCGGACCAATCCTTTCATCAAATAGGACTGTGTCAGCATACTGTATGAAACTTTGTGTTTTCATATTCCCTGATTTTGATTCGTTCAATAATCGATGTATATACTCCCATGACTATATTTTAAGATGCTGTAATACATGTGAGGAAGTTCAAATGGCGTATAATGAAATGCGATGGGTATTTGTAAATATTTCTGCATTTGAACAGTGCCGAAAGGAAAACTGGAACGAGATTAAACAAAAGATAGGCAGTGAAGGTTGCAGAATTCATGGAAATTTAACAGTTAATCGAGTTGGTGGGGCGTTTCATATTGCTCCTGGTCATAGTTACACTGAAAATCATGCACATTTTCATAGCTTTCAAAGTCTTGGTCCTGTTCAGGTGAGTTGAAGTTTAATTCAGGGTTATAGCATTGAAAACAGTTTCGTCCACACTGACGTTCACTTATTTTGTTATCTGTTTTTGTATTCTTAACAGAAATATTTGATTGAGTAGTCTTCTCCGTACTTGATACGATACCTGTCACAATAATATATTTTGATAAAATTATATAGTTTTTCATCTGACGTGCGCCTAATTCTAGAGGCATCATTTATATAAATACTCAAACTACCATGTGATATGTAATTGATGATTTTGGCATATCAGTTATATTGGCCAAAATTCAAATCATGGATAATTATATTTACCAAATATTTTCTGTGCAAGTTAGATGTAATTTGATTCAATTCTTCTACTTTGCCACACTGATTTTGAGATTAAGACTTTAATTTATAAGAGCAAGGTCAACTGCAGGATTTTCACTAGTCAAGGACAACACAAGATGCAGATATGGTAGTTAACAACAGGTTTCTTTATGCTTTTGGATTTTAATTTGACAACTGGTCACCAATTTATGAGGTAAATAACCAGACAATTTGTCTAAAACTTCATGTAAAGATACTCATGAATGCAAAGAAGATATAAGATCTGCAGGTGTTCTCTTCATTTGATGTCAGTAGTCAAGAGGAGTGCACGAAGTAGTAGGTTCACAACAGTTACCTTATGTTATTGATTACGTTGATTTACTACAAACTATTACTGCTTTTCATTTATCCATTTTTTAATCGCTTTAGTATGCTTATATGTATTCAATACTTGATAATGAATTTATTTGATCGTTAGAATCTGACAGTGGTTACTATCGCCCTTGTTTGTTTATCTTGATTAAGTTACGCCCCCAAAAGAGAAGATCTTTTTCTTAATAACACCGGTTTAAAGGCTGCTCTGAAATAACGCTTAATTATGCAAGACATTTCCTAAATTAGCCATCGTTTGAAAAAATTGTTCATTCCGTATAATATTTCTTTACAAAGTATTTTCATTATAATTATAATGCTGTGATTATACAACAATTTTTTAACCTAGTTCAACGTGTCTCATTCAATCGGGGAGCTTCGTTTTGGTGACTCATATCCTGGTCAAGTTAATCCACTAGATGGAACAAAAATGGCGGTACAAACACGTAAGTATTAATCTGTATTTATTTGGAATGTCTCATCTTTGCCTTGATAACTTAAAAATAAACACTCGTTCACCACCCTGATGACACATATGGCACCCCTGACGTTCAGAGACACCGCCGAGTAATTAGTAGAAAAATTAGAGATGAAAATTCCTATGGGAGGTAAATCTTTTGATGAAGTCTAAATTTTATTTGCCAAAATATCCGACGAAATGCCTTGCATACGCCTAGCAGTCACCTCCCACGTATCATATCGATTTATTCATGGTAGTGAAATCCTGGAAGTAAATCTATTTCAGCAGTGCTTACAGACTTACGAGGTTCCAAGAGTATTGGAAATTGATAATGAGCAGTCAGTTTCTTGGCCGTAGTTGGTACATTTAGTCACTAGTCATACTTGCTTATTGCAATGGCCGGTTAAAGACTGCTGAGATTAAAAGCAACTAATTTCAAATTTGAGGGTGAAATCATACTGTCGGCTGTGTTTGAGGTTTGACCGCATTAACCTATTCTCCATGGTTAACCAAGATCTTCAGCTATACTCCCTTCTCACAGGTGTAAAAATGAGACAGAGAAGGTCTCCCCTAAAAACGCTATTAACTCTTGGACCATGTATATCCAACACTAAGCTTAAGTCCCGAAAGTAGAGGACTAACATAACAAAAATCTCATATAACAATCCATTTTACTCTCAGATCTCAACTGAAGAAACATTTTTCCACAATATGGAGAACCCAGAATCATTAACCATCTACACAATCTGTACTCGAATCCCTCTGCTTTAGTGAATAATTATTAAACAGTAAGAGCTGTAGTTATAAAGAGACTAGTCTTTGCACTATGTACATTTATACAAAAGTCGTGGTCACAAGTAGTAAGTACTTCAGTTGCGTTTTATTCGTTGGGCTGCATAATATAACGATGAGATTCTTTTGAAGACAACTAACAAATTACTTGAATTTCGCTTACTACATTGAGTATACTCCTGCTTCCTTAAAAACATTACCTTGGTTTGCTCAACAGTTTTCGGTGCAATAGGATTATTCAGTCATTCTTCTCATAATTAATCTCTTGAAAGATTTCATTAACATGTAACTCATCCTAGTAGCTACACTTTTATTTTCTAATTATTAAAAAAGGAGACAAAAACTCAGGAAAGGTAATCTTTCTTAGATGATGACTTCATTTACCAAAGCTGTACAGTTGGACTTATAATTTTGATAGTTGAGATCATGAGTCGATTGAAGCTAGACCATCATGAAAAACCTGGAAGCACTGGGTGGCGGTTTCGTCCTACTGTGTGACTTCTCATCAGTGCACATCCACGTCTCACAGTATGACGAAACGTCCTCCCAGTGCTTCCAGGTTTTCCATGATGGTCTAGCTTCAATTGACTCATGATCTCAACTATTAAAATTACTATAATATCCACAAAACCCCTTCTGGTACTTATAATTATTTAGTAAAAATAAAAAGACCTTACTTCATCAAGTATTTAGAGATTTTAAGTGTCACCCGAAAATTACACAATGATTTTAAGGTTAAAAAAATTCTTAGATTGTATATAGTTTGTTGTTCACGAGTATGAGATTATTGTCCACCTGATAGAGGTTAAAAAAATGAGAATCTTGGAAGCACTAATTATAACTGATTACTGAATAAAATTAAACTAGAAGAGGCGGTTGTTTTCTTCTAGATTACCTTTATTTCTTTTTTAATACCACGATAGCTCATTCAGTGATCAATTGACTTTAATCAGTATCACAGAACAGATAACAATATTGTTTATAATTTGACAACTAATCTTTGAACACACACACGTTTATGTTGATGGCCAAGGTGGGGGAAAGAAAGAGGTTGTAAGGAGTTCAATTGAATACATCATTTAAGTTCATTGATATGAATTACGATCGCTTCGGAAATATGAAAACGATGCACACAGACTCCGCCTAGAGTCCCTCCAGGGGCTACTGCCGGTCCCGAGCCCAGATAAAGGAGGGTTGAGCATGGGGTTAGCGTCCCCATCCCGTAGAAAACCAACTCGCTAAAAAAACGCTAACTAGAAAAAATTACTCAAACCTTTTAAACTCTGCCCTGGGAGTCAGAAGGTCTTCATTTAGAAGAACTATGACGCCTCATGATGAAAGCCGAATTCCTTCGGAAGTTACGAGGCCGATGGCCCTTCTGACAACCAGAACGACCATTTATTTAGGTACATGGAATGTTCGTACAATGTGGGACACCGGGAGAGCCTTCCAAATTGCTGCAGAAGTGAGAAGATACAACCTAGAGGTACTTGGGATCAGTGAAACGCATTGGACACAAGTTGGACAACAACGACTAACTTCAGGAGAACTCCTGTTATACTCCGGCCACGAAGGAGAAAATGCTCCACATACACAAGGAGTTGCATTGATGCTGTCCAAACAAGCGCAAAATGCGCTTATAGGATGGGAATCTCATCGACCAAGGATCATCAAAGCCTCGTTCAAAACAAAAAAAGAGGGCATTTCAATGAACATCATCCAATGCTATGCGCCTACCAACGACTACAATGAAGAAGCGAAAGATCAATTCTACAATAGGCTGCAGTCAATCGTCGAGAAGTGCCCAACAAAGGACCTGACCATTCTGATGGGAGATTTCAACGCCATGGTTGGAACGGACAACACTGGATATGAAGACATCATGGGACGACACGGACTGGGAGAAAGAAACAAAAATGGTGAGAGATTTGCACACCTATGTGCCTTCAATAAACTGGTCATAGGCGGCACCATATTCCCACATACACGCATACACAAAATCACATGGACTTCACCGGATCACACAACACAAAACCAAATCGACCATATTTGCATCAACAAAACGTTCAGGAGGACTATAGAGGACGTGAGAACCAAGAGAGGAGCTGATATAGCATCAGATCATCACTTGCTGGTCGCCAAGATGAAATTGAAACTCAAGAAGCACTGGAGAATGGGGCGGACAATATCACAAAAGCTCAATACGGCCTTTCTTCAGGATACTAACAAACTCAACAAATTCAAGATAGTCCTCAGCAATAGGTTCCAGGCCTTTCACGATCTACTCAATGGAGAAGGAACTACTGTGGGGAGCAACTGGTAGGGGATCAAAGAGGCAATCACTTCAACATTTCATGAGGTCCTGGGTCACAAGAAGCACCATCACAAGGAATGGATCACTGTTGATACACTGGATAAGATTCAAGAAAGGAGGAACAAGAAGGCAGCAATCAATACCAGTCGAACAAGAGCAGAAAAAGCCAAGGCATAAGCTGAATACACAGAAGTAAACAAACAAGTGAAGCGGAGCATCAGAACTGAAAAACGTAAATATGTGGAAGATTTAGCAACGGCGGCGGAAAAGGCTGCAAGAAAAGGAAACATGAGACAATTGTATGACACGACAAAGAAACTCTCTGTAAATCGCCGCAAACCAGAACGACCAGTGAAAAGCAAAGAAGGCAAGGTAATCACCAACATTGAAGAGCAACAAAACAGGTGGGTAGAACACTTCAAAGAACTCTTGAATCGACCAGCTCCACTGAACCCACCCAACATCGAAGCAGCACCCACGGACCTCCCAATCGATGTTGGCCCACCAACAATTGAAGAAATCAGGATGGCCATCAGAAAAATCAAGAGTGGCAAGGCAGCAGGACCGGACAACATTCCGGCAGAGGCACTAAAAGCAGACGTAGCGGCGACTGCAAGGATACTCCACATTCTCTTCAATAAGATTTGGGATGACGAACAAGTACCAAAAGACTGGAAAGAAGGACTTCTGGTCAAAATACCGAAGAAAGGCGATCTCAGCAAGTGTGATAACTACACGGGCATCACTCTTCTCTCAATACCGGGAGAAGTCTTCAACAGGGTATTGTTAAACAGGATGAAGGACTGCAAAGACGTCCAACTTCGAGACCAACAGGCAGGATTCCGTAAGGATAGATCGTGTACAGACCGAATCGCAACTCTACGGATCATTGTGGAACAATCAATTGAATGGAATTCGTCGCTCTACATCAACTTCATTGACTACGAAAAGGCATTTGATAGCGTGGACAGAACAACACTATGGAAGCTTCTCCGACACTACGGCGTGCCTCAGAAGATAGTCAATATCATACAGAACTCATATGATGGATTACACCGCAAAATCGTGCATGGAGGACAGTTGACAAAGTCGTTCGAAGTGAAGACCGGTGTCAGGCAAGGTTGCTTACTCTCACCCTTTCTCTTTCTCCTGGTGATCGACTGAATCATGAAGACGTCAACGTCTGAAGGGAAGCGCGGGATACAATGGACATGTAAGATGCAGTTGGATGATCTAGACTTCGCAGATGATCTGGCCCTTCTATCCCAAACGCAACAACAGATGCAGGAGAAGACGAACAGTGTGGCAGCAGCCTCAGCAGCAGTAGGTCTCAATATACACAAAGGAAAAAGCAAGATTCTCCGATACAACACAGAATGCACCAATCCAATCACAATTGACGGAGAAGATTTGGAAGATGTAAAAACCTTTACGTATTTGGGCAGCATTATTGATGAACTCAGTGGATCTGATGCAGATGTGAAGGAGCGGATCGGTAAAACAAGAGCAACATATCTACAACTGAAGAACATCTGGAACTCAAAACAACTGTCAACCAACACCAAAGTCAGGATTTTCAATACAAATGTCAACATAGTTCTACTGTGTGGGGCAGAAACCTGGAGAACTACGAAAGTCATCCTCAAGAAGATTCAAGTGTTTATTAACAGTTGTCTATGCAAAATACTTCGGATCCGTTGGCCAGACACTATTAGCAACAACCTACTGTAGGAGAGAACAAACCAGATCCCAGCGGAGGAAAAAATGAGGAAGAAGCGCTGGAAGTGGATAGGACACACATTGAGGAAAGCACCCAACTGCGTCACAAGACAAGCCCTCACATGGAATCCCCAAGGCCAAAGGAAAAGAGGAAGACCAAAGAACACATTACGCCGAGAAATGGAAATAGACATGAGAAAAATGAACAAGAATTGGATGGAACTAGAAAAGAAGGCCCAGGACAGAGTGGGTCAGAGAATGCTGGTCGACGGCCTATGCTCCATTGGGAGTAACAGGAGTAATTAAGCAAGTAAGGTTAGTAAAATGTTTAGAGGAAACGTTTATTGTATCCATGCTGGATACAGTAGTCAATAATCATTAGATTATGCCAACCAGAAACAAATATAAAATGTTTGACTTCACCTCATCCATGTGTATTTATCATTTTTACTGCTCACATCGAGCTAGTCACATAGGAAACACAGGTAGGTAAGTACATCATCCCCTTTTCAAATACCATCCCGTGTAGTTAGATGGATGACAATTAACGATGATTAAGAACTCAATACTTGATCAGCTGATAAATATAGAAAATCAAGTAGTTTGAAATAAACCTTTTCAAGTCATCTACCGTATTTCATCAAATATACACGATTTATGCGTGAATCTTCTTGATACTGCATATGGCATTCATATTAATAAACCTGACTTAGGCATTCAGTAGAAATGTGTACAATCCCTTTCTTTCTCCACCTTAGCCATCAACATAAGCTATAGTAGAGTAGAGTTAGAATGCACTTATTACTACGCCTTTTTCCCAATCTGTTTTCCCTTTTCTGTTTTTTTTTTGTTTTTTTTTACTCTTACGTAATTATTAAGAATTTTTGATTAATTATCAAAAATGTATTTCGTCTGAATCGTCTCACCAGTTATTATGTAATCTTTCAACCTTGTAACTGCACATTTTAGTTTATTTACAAATAATTACTATTTGTGTTATTTCCGAACTTTCAGATTCCCAGATGTTTATTTACTACTTAAAACTGGTACCGACTATGTATACCGGCGTTAACCGAAATGTACGTTGTAACTCATATGTGTGTTACACTTAAAATCATATTGGTAAAATTTCGTAAATCCTGTACATAATGTTCTTTTTTTTGCTGGAAGTTTTTTAGCTCTTCAACATGTAGTTGTTAAGATGAATATTGAAAAAAAAATAATTCAACGAATTAAATTGTCTTTTCGACAGTGTCATTTTCTTTAGTTGTGCAATCGTATTTATCAGTAGTTTTACATATAGTATTCTGTCATAATATAAACGAACAATTACATCACTGGATAAATTTACTAAAATTTATTAAACCTCATATCATATTACTGATAAATACTATTGTATAGTATAAAAAATGACATTCTAGAAGAGAAGATTCTCCTCTTTAGAACATCTTCATTCTTTTTAATGACTTGATAAGTTTTCTTCGTTGTTTCAAAATACAACAATGAGTTAAGAACATGATAATATTAAATTCATTGATATTCCTTAGCGTATACATCTAAATCAGTGGTACTAAATACGAAGATATACTATTGAACTAATGAATATTGAATATCTTATGTTTTAAAACATTCGTAGTGTCAGTTATTATTTTAAGTCCATAGTATATCTTATTCTAGTTTTTGAACAAACCAATCTATTCATTCTACTTGAGTCATATTTTGACCTTGTTAATTATTCGGTTATCAGTCTTGACTGTTTTTATATGAGCGTATATGTGTGTACATTTCTTATCTCATTACATACCACATGTCTGTAGTTTATTTTGTCTGCCTATAAATATTGCGCAACGCCTGGCTAGAAATAGAGTTGGCTTACCAACAGCCATCTCCCTTGCGCGTCATTTTGCTGTGTTCTATCACTTTCACTTTACATACAAAATATATGTATTCAAAGGCCATTCTCGTTAATTGACTTATCTAAATTCCATTATTGACTAACGTGATTAAAGTCGATAATTGTATACGAGGATAGGTGATAACGAACATTCTTACGATCCAAATGGAGTCAGATCCACGGGCCACTAAACATTCTTATACAACACTGATTAACATTTCAAACAATATTTTGTCTGTAATCACTTCATCATGGTAGTCATCATTACTTCAAATACTTAGTTCCTGTAGTTATTGTACTTTCTTTTCTCTCATTTGCATGGTAGTACAATTTTAAAAACATTTTAAAAAGGATTATTTTATTATGATTCATTAGATATCAATTGAGTAAAGAAAAATACAATGATCTAACCACCTACGTAGTTAATGTTGCTCTTAAGAACTTATTTTATTATACCTTACTGTGTGTTCATGGATGGCATTAGAATAGCTAACTTTCAGAAAGCTTATCTTGATAGATTATTTACCTTATATTCTAATAAGTTGTTATGTTACGATTATTTGAATAGATCTAACTGACTGCTGAGACTTATTTCAAAAGAAAAACCGTGTTAACGCAAAACTTCGCATTATGTCCCACTTCAACTTTCCTTACTACACAACATAGATAAAGGAAATAGATAACAACTAAAAATATGAAAACAAACAAAGCAAAATAAATACGAAGTATTATGACGTTGAGAATTTAGGAAGTAAATGTTGGTGCATATTTGCATAACTATCATAAATTTTAGGCTGTTTCGTCTAATAGAATATTTAGCTGGTTTCTGTGATATCAAAATCCTTTCTCATAAAGTGTTCGCTTCTATCTACACTGTTCAAACTAGCTGTTAGTAATTTTAACGACTGATGCTATGCCTTGATTTGAACACTTATTCCAGCCAAATCTTACTTTAGCTGACATTGCAAACAAAGATAATTAGTAGCATGTGTAACTCCTGAATCAGTCTCTTCATCTAATAAAGTTTTACAACCTCATCAACTGATCTACCACCCTTATCTAAAACATCAATTTCATTCTCAGCAATGCTTATCGAGTGGTTTCAGCACATAATTAATCTTCCAAGCGAAACGCATGATTGAATACATGTCATCACACAAGCCTTAACATCTTTGTAACACAAATTGGGATTCCACTCAGTAGTTTGGAGTCACAAGTAATGCAGGGCGTGATACAAAGGTACCACACTTCACATCACAGCGAGAGCAAAATAACGGTATACTCACTTTTCTATGGACAGTCGACTATTTCTTACAACATAAGTGATATTTGTTGACAAATGACAAAAGAACTATAACCATCACTACCAAGATTTTATCGGTGACTTAACCACTAGACCTGACTCAATCACTCGAACCGCTTTCAGGTTCAACCATCACTCTATACTTTTCAACTAGATGACGTTCCAGATCATTTTCTTAGCATTTTACTAACTTGACATTCACCTTCAACTAATTTAAACAATCGAAATACAGAAATTAGTTGCAAATAAAAAAGGTGGACAATGAAGAGTTAACATCTACTAGTTGTCCATTCTGTAAGGAAAAACTTGCTTTAATCTCACTGCTGATATGATATAAATGATTATCAGTTACTTATACCGATTCATTATATTTCACTAATTTAATTTGAAATTTTTACAAAAATGAAACTATTATTAGTTTACATACATTAACCTATCGTTAACACAGGCTACCACAAATTTTAACGTCCAGTGTACAGTTTATATGTACATTTTTCTAAAAAAACTTAGTTTCTGCTTACTCCGTTAATTCTGATTTTCTCTGTGTAAATATGTAGGAAAGCACTGTGATAACTAATCAGTACTCGGCTACATGGCATTCAAAAGGTACGCCTCTATCTGGTGATGGTCAAGGATTACCTGGTATATTTTTCAATTATGAAATAGCCCCTTTACTTGTTAAAATTACTGAAGAGAAAAAGTAAGCACTCTAATAAAATTATGTCGAAAATATTATAATGTATATAAAAGACATTCACTTTATAAAATTGTATCCTTTACTGTGACTTAGTTAATATTTGATAAGATGAATAAAATTGATACTGGTTGATAAATGATGTTCAGTGACACAATGTGGCTGCATGCAGAACTGTACTGTTAACGTCAACTCGTCAGGTGAACGGATATCAGAAGATAAACAGCTCGGTAGAATAGGTCTTCTTTGCGTAATAGCATAACAATTGCTATAAAGTCGGACGAATCTTATTTTATTAGTCACTCGTTCTCCAATTTGTAATTCCTTAACTATTAGGCTTCCCTCTCATATCATATATGCATTTTACTCAACCTTACATTTCTTAAGTGTAGATCGTTATCTGTTATTATTGTTGTTGTCGATACAAATAACTACCGTCTTAAAATGAAAAACTTGAATATTTTCCAACTAACTTTATTATTACATTAGTTAACATAAATCTCTTTATCGTATTCCGATTGACTTTTAAATCTTACTTACGCCTGTCACCCCTCATGGAGGAGCATAGGCTGACCACGAACATTCTCTATAGGACTCTGCCGTAGGCAATCCTTTCCAGTCGCTATTCACCCTTTTAATATCCGCTTCCAATTCTCGGCACAATTTGCTCTATGTTATCGCTTGCTTCGCGATGCAGTTCGGTGATTTCCGCAATGTACGTCCTATGCACTTTCAAAGTGTTTTCCCTAATTTCCTCTTCAGATGGAAGCTGGTTTGTTCTCTCCAACAGTAGGTTGTTGCTGATGGTATCCGGTCAACGGACATTCAGTATCTTGTGTAAACAATTGTTTATAAATACCCGTACTTATTTGATGATGGTTGTAGTAGTTCTCTAAGTTTCAGCTCCGTACAATAGAACTGTCTTGACGTTTGTGTTGAAGATTCGAACTTTGGTGTTAGCTGACAGATAGTTGATATGAATTCCATACGTTATTCAACTGTATGAATGTGGCCCTTACTTTTCCAATACTCGCCTTTGTATCTGCATCAAATCCGTCTTGTTCATCGATGATGCTGCCCAGTTTTAAATCTATCCACTTTTTTTCCAGGTCATTTATACATTTCCTGACAAATACATGTGCAATTATTGGAGGAGTATTTACAGGTGAGAGTATATTGGGCCTATTTTCTATGCTAGAGCTTCTTTTTTACATTACGGTTTACAACATTGTCGTTAAAAATTTACTTAGGATGTTTTGCCATTAGAAATAATAATGGTACATTGTTGGTTGAATGCTGTACTTGGTAGATTCACTAAATATTCTTAATAAGTTATTTTTGAAATCATTTCCATTCTCAATTTATGTCAGTTAAAAAAGTATTTTGAACTAGAATAAAAAAGTAATAGACAAAACTATTCAGTTTTTTCTTAAGATTTTTGATATCACGTGGCTAGATAACATTGCGTGGTTGAAAATGATGACTGAATACATGTGATAACAAAGTTTATCAATGATGTCACAGACGTTCACTTTCTCTCTGTCTATGTTTTCCTATGTGCTGTCATTCAGTTAGTTTTAATCAACCTGGAACTTCACCTTAATATGCGTTATCCTAGGTTACCATACTGCATTGGCACGACTCGATGGAATTAACATAAACAGAATTGCAGTAAGAATAATTGTTGTAGCGATGAGCGAGAAAAATGAAACTCTTAAAACACAGTGAGATGGAATGAAAAGATTACACTTTTGGACATCGCTCTACATACTCATGTCTAATAACTGGGTAATAACATCAGCTCTTATAACCTATTGTATAATATACAAGTATGTGATAAATAATTTGCCTGGGTTTATTTGCAGGATTATAACTTACTCAATCACCTATTTTAATTGCTCATTGAGATTAGAAATTTAAAACACTGGATCTCGGCTCAGTGCTCGCCGTGAGACTTCAAGTCTCGAGCTTGACTCACAGTGAGGTCGTGGATGCACACTGCCAAAACGTCCCTTACTAGCATTAAACAGCTGTTCAGTGTTTTCTCGTTTTGAATGGCTGTCTAAGGTCAGTTCGTGAAGATCAGTGACCTCGATTAATCACTTATAATGTTTTAATGTTTTTCTTATTTCTTACAGGTTATATTACCCCACTGTTATACTATGTTAGATTACAATTATTTTCTTATATACTTAATCTAGCCTTTAGATAAAAGTTATAGACTGTTGATGAACAGTCACGTATATTTACTTTTACTTAATTATTGACAGCATCTCTCGTGTAAGCATTAATGACATTGTTAAGTTAACCGAATCTTGTTAGAGGAAAGGGTAGTTTAATTTTTAACTTATGAGTGTTAGTTTACACGTTACATGTTCAATAAAATTTAGGCATATCATAAGTTATCACGTGTTAAATATATTTTAAACTTCATTCATTTATAACAAATAAAGTTTGTTACTTATCTGCCAAATAAACAATCATATCATTTAGTTGTAAACATCAGTAACTACTAATTACATGGCCTTGTTTGGTGACTTCTGTTTATTCAATCTCCATGTTGTAATATCCCGACTGCAGCTGCTACCTTGACGCGGTGGTCGGGCTTGCCTATCGTGATAACCCAAACGAGCTATATTGGCTGAAACATATGTTCCTGTAGGTTCTACCGTGCCAGGCGGGTCGATTGGAGAACGGCAAGACTAAAAGCAGAGTAAGTCTCAACGTTGGACCCAAATAGATCACATCGCTATCAGCCACCGATGGATGGGCTCGATAGAAGACTGTCTCTCATTCTGAAGCACATGCTTAGATTCAAATCATGCTCTAGTGCGAGCGCGTATTTATCTACGTCTTACTGGACGTAAGAAAGACGCTGCGAGGAACCTCTTAGGGTCCTACTTAATGAAGACCAAGCTGAGAATATATTTCAGGAAAAACTAGAAAAAACAGTTAGGCAGCTATGTAAGTGATGCCCACCCCGAGGCAGCGTTGAATGACATCCGAGAAGCTGTGGAAACAGCAGTGATATCTGCTAGTACGGTAAATCATAAGGTTAGGGAAAAACACTGGATCTCAGCAGCATCTACCGCACTGGTAGATGCTCGAAAACTCATTCCATCTGGATCTGAACATGACGAAGAGCGGAGTCAGCTTAAGTACAGGCTGATAAGAAGCCTACGCAATGATCGCGAACAGTGGTGGATAGCGAAAGCAAGAGAGATGGAACAGGCAGCGGCTATAAGTAACAGCAGACAACTGTTCAGAGTCGTTAGGGAGACCGGTATTAGGAACCCGACTGTTAGCGAAACTGTCTCGGTAAAAGATGGACATATTATACATTCTCAGTCGAGGCGATTGGATCGATGGGCAGAACACTTTAGGGATCAGTTCAACTGGCCTTCAGCCACACTTCAGTTTCCCACGATCTCTAGTCCACCTGAATGGCAAGTTAATTTAGGTCCTCCGACAAATATAGTGTCTAAAATATTAGCTTCAATAATACATCGACACCTAGCCAAAGCTCGTGAAGAACAGACTAGAGAAAATCAGGTTGGTTTTCGACCCGGACGTGGTTGTATAGACCAAATATTCACACTACGTCAGGTTCTAGAACACAGACACACGTTCAGACGCCCCACAATCGTAGTATTTCTCAACCTTAAAGCAGCATTCGACTCTGTTGATCGTGAGGTTCTATGGCAGTGTTTGTCACTGAAAGGAGTACCAGAGAAGTACATTAACCTTATAAAGGCTCTTTACTCGAACACAACTGGTCGAGTGAGAGCTTATAGCGAACTGTCATCAGAATTGATTACCTCAAGTGGTGTTCGTCAGGGCTGTCCACTCTCCCCATTCTTGTTCAACTTTGTCATTGACGTACTTTTAGAGATAACACTCTCCTCATCTAAATTTACAGGGGTTGAACTTCTACCAGGAGGTTCACTTGTTGACTTAGAATATGCTGATGACATAGTTCTATTTGGTGAAGACGCTGACAAAATGCAGAGTCTTCTGACCACTCTAAGCAACAATGCAAGCATGTTCGGGATGCGATTCTCTCCCTCGAAATGCAAAATGTTGCTTCAGGATTGGGTTACATCGACACCCGAACTAGTGATAGGGAGTGAAGTAGTTGAGCGTGTCGATCGCTTCACTTATCTTGGAAGTCTCATCAGCCCTTGTGGTCTGGTGTGTGACGAAATCTCAGCACGGATACAGAAGGCTCGACTAGCTTTTGCCAACTTGCGTCATTTATGGCGTAGGCGAGATATCCGTCTATCAACCAAAGGACGTGTTTACTGCTCAGCAGTTCGTTCCGTCCTTCTTTATGGCAGTGAAACATGGCCGGTAAGAGTAGAGAATATTCGTAGGTTACTAGTATTTGATCATAGGTGTCTTCGAGACATTGCTCGTATATCCTGGGACTACCGAGTAAGTAATACAGTTGTTAGGTAACGGGTTCAAGGTAAGTATGGTAAATCAATCGATGATGTAGTAAAACTTCATCAGTTGAGATGGCTGGGACACGTGTTACGTATGGCCAACAACCGACTGCCTTGACGAGCGATGTCCAATGGTATAGGAGTAGATTGGAAGAAAGATAGGAGCGGCCAGACCAAAACATGGCACAAGTCCATGAAGTCACTGACAAGTGGACTGAGCCATGTTGGTAGGTGTAGACTACCTGGTTGGGGACCGCGAGATGATAGCAACCGATGGTTAGAGAGCCTGAATGACATGGCTCAAAATCGTTGGCAATGTCGCAAGTGCATCCACTCTTTGTGTTCTCCCAAATTCGAATCTTCTGAATTCTTCATGTCCCTTTCTTTTTTTCTCTTTCCAAGTTTATTTCGCTGTGTTATACTCATTAAATAACATCTTCAAACCCTAATCTTTCCGATTACCGCTTATACTTTTACTACCTCTACCACTACGGGATTTGAATCGACAACTGCATCTCTGTGCTAATGTGATATGGCAACTGGAACTGATGTACGTACTTACGAAGTTCTACGTTGTTACTGACTGACTGATGATGTAATATGGTTATGTTTACTCAATTCATAGATGACTGAACGAACTTCTGATCATTTTTTGTCATTATTTCATTTAATCAGTACACTGATATTTTTGTTTTAATTTATTTTAGTGGCGAGTCTTCTGGATGCATTCATTTATCACTCTACATGTATATTACGTAACCGTCATCATAGAAATTAACATTATTAAATGTACAATTATTTTGTAATTTATTTGTTCTCTACTTCCTTTCTTATATTTATTCGTCCTTCGTTCTATTTTCTAACATTCTAATTTGTGTTGAAGAAACTGGTTTGGTGTAAACATTGCGCGATTCCTCATGTCTTTCGACCCCCACTATTTGCTATTTTTTCTTTATGTGTATACATCGGTATCAATATACTGTATGTGAATTCTTTTTGAAAATCCATTTATTATGAGCCTAGCATTCTTTTTTGTGATAATTGGTTTCGTAAAATGTACAAATAGAGTTATAGCAACGAACATACAATACGTGTTTATGTATTACTGCTTCACTCAGATGACATCATTCTCTAGCCTAATGGCAGACACCGTAAATATGACAACTGATGTAAGTAAATGATTTAATTATTATTCGCTATTCTAAGTAGATGATAAGCAACTGTCTCTGTTTACGCTCTGACCTCAATCAAAGTAATTATGTTAGCTAATAAAGCGTAACCAATAAGGTCATTCGTATGGTATGCTACTTACTGATCTGAAGTAAAAGCTAGCAAAAGTTGGAGGATCCTAATAGCCAGATAGGGACTCTTTTTTTTTCCTTGCCACCTACCTACTCTGACTAAATCCTAGCACCATGATGGAAATGTGTCCTAGCCAAGGATTTATCTAAATTTAACAGGCAATGTAAGGTTACAAATAATTCACCTACAAAATTTCGTAGTTCTCAATGTATTGTTTTGTATCTTTATTACAATATACTATCTTCAATACCATGACTGAAGTAGTAAATATCGATAATAAAGGGGTAGCGATGAGGGTATTTTATATCCTAGCTTTCTGTATTAATGTATTTCCAACAAATATTTTAGGCTCCAAAATGGTCAAACGATTATTGTTGTAAAATTGCTTGCCTCGCTTGTTCGGAAACGGGTCTTTATAAGTTGTGATAAACTTTCATTAGTGGATAAAATTCCAAATAATAATTTGACGAGTCATTCACACTCAACTACTGATTAAGTACCATAAAGTGAATAAGTTATTGATGTGCGCTCATATTAGTTCGATCGATTTTATTACGAAATTGAGGTGTGGAAAGGTAACAGGTTCTATCTAATTGTTGAGAAATATTGTCATCGGTGTTAGTGCAGAATTACTAGTTAAATAGACTTTGGCTGAGGTATAGTTCGGTGCCCCAAAATGCCCTGGTATGGCCGAGAGCGGGGTGGGTTCGCCCTCCCTCTCGAAATACTCTCACACGGCCACGCATATACAGCCTCTGCCAGGGAAGTCCTAATCACTGCCTTCTCATGGCGGGGGAGTTGTTTACGAAAATGAGAGGACGAAAAGCGAATGTCCGGCGCTTTAACCTGATTCCAAATCAATGGTGCACATCTGCTCCAGTATCCTGCGGGAACAAATGGCGTATGAACCAATTTTCGGTCACCGGCTGCCATGGGACTGCATCTCCTCACGATGCTCCACTGCCTTGTGGGTTAGACCTTTAGGTCAAAGGCTCGAGGTGTGGCCCCAAAGATAACCACCTGCTTCGGTCTGGGCACCCGGGCAGTATCTCAGCCCGCACACAAAAACATGATAAACTATCTACTTATGAAAAATATTACTTTCGCTCCAAATAACAATCAAGTGACTCGCAATATTATTATTCACTACGTCATTATTCACCCTCTTTTATTCCCACTATGTCTATACTTATTTTTTCCGACTTATACAGCAGCTCGTCTATGGTGGAAATTCGACTAAACGTTCTCGAGTCACTGTCCGGTTGGAAATAATATGTTACCACTGAATACGAGGACTGAAGCAGTTTTTCTGAAACCACGTGCACCATTCAAACTGGCTGCCTTCAACGTTCGCACATTTATACAGGTCGGACAACAGATAGGGCTGGCTATGTCTTTAGAAAGTCTTAATATTGATGTTTGTTGTCTATCCGAGACCCGTATTCAAGACTCTGGCGAAGTACTACAAATTTGCTCTCCATCTGTCGCTTCGAAAAGCTTGTTTTACGCGAGTTTATCCGGGGACCCTGTGGCATCTTCGCCTGGTCTTGCTGGCGTTGGTGTCTCACTGAGCGCTAGAGCTAAGGCAGCACTAATCGATTGGATCCCCACAAACAGTCGGTTGGTTATGTGCTGTTAGATTAGAGAGTTCCATCAAAGTGAGAAGAAATCGGCGTGAGAAACGATGTCTTTTCGTCATCTCCGCCTATGCCCTGACAGATTGCAGCCCGGATGCAATCAAGGATGAGTTTTACCACCAGTTATCTGTTCTTCCCCAGAAAGTGCGTCCGACAGATATTGTAGTGCTAGCCGGAGACTTGAATGCTCAGGTCGGGTGTCTAGGCACAGAAGAGAGTCGTTTAGGTGGCCGATGGGGACTTGTTAGTCGCATGACAGATAACGGGGACTGTCTACTGCAACTGTGCACAGACCACAACCTGTTTCTGGCCATCACTAACTTTCGGCAGTCATCGCCGATGTGCCTCCTGGCGTCCCCCTTCTGCATCTCAAGCCTGGACTCAGATTGATCACATCGCGATCAGCTACCGCTGGCGTGGTTGTGTACAAGACTGCCGCTCCTTTTGGAGTACCTATCTGGACTCTGACCATGCCTTGGTCTGCGCCAATCTTGCCTTACTTTTCAGTGGACAACGAAGTGACCGCCATCAACGGATTGATATTAGCAAGCTGGTTGCAACTTCTGTTGCAAGTAAGTATCGAACCGAGCTAGCTACCACTCCACCGAAAAGTGTAGATGAGCATTGGTTGCAATTGCATGACGCCATGAAAATGGCGGGTACAGTCAGTTGTGGGTTCGCGAAACGTCCCGCTTACAAGCACATTCTGGAAACAGCTCTGATGAATGTAAGTAATGGTGGTGTGGATCTGTTGCCTGGAGAAAGACTTCTCGACCTTGAGTATGCGGACGATATTGTCTTACTGTGCGATAATGCCCAAGGTATGCAACCCGCACTTAATCAGTTGACAATCAGTGTCCGTAGGTATGGTATGTGCTTTGCACCTTCGAAGTGCAAAGTACTTCTACAAGACTGGCAGGATCCTAATCCTGTACTCACCCTGGATGGTGAGCAGATATAAATAGTCGAGAAGTTCGTGTATCTGGGTAGCTGCATAAGTGCTGGTGGGGGTGTGAGTGATGAGATCAATGCACGAATAGTGAAAGCCAGGGCGGCTTATGCCAATCTGGGCCACCTTTGACGCCTTCGTGATGTTAGTCTGGCTGTAAAAGATCGGATTTACAACGCGTCGGTGAGAGCAGTTTTGCTCTATGCTTGTGAAACCTGACCTCTCCGAGTTGAGGACGTTAGACGACTCCCTGTGTTCGATCATCGCTGTCTCCGAACGATTGCTGACATTCAGTGGCAACACCATGTTAGTAATGCAGAGGTTCGGCATCGTGTGTTCGGGCACAGAGACGATAGTGCAATTAGTGTCACCATCTTGAAACACCGACTTCGGTGGCTTGGACATGTTCTACGGATGTCGTCCCAGAGAATTCCACGTCATGCATTATTTGCTGACTCTGGGACTGGTTGGAAGAAGCGGAGAGGTGGCCAGTATATGACATGGTGTCGTGAGATGAAAGAAAGCTGCAAAGGGCTGGCTTTTTTCGGTCCTTCACGACTCCCTGGTTGGGGTCCGAGAGATGGTACAACACAGTGGCTAGAGACGTTATCAGATATGGCTCAGAATAGAAGCCAGTGGCGATCGTGCTGTAACCTTCTTTTACTTTCTTCATAAAACTTGGCTGTATCTTCCTTAACTGAAACATTTCTTCTGATTGTATCCTTCTGTTCCCCTACTATTACTATTATTATTACACTACCTTACATCAATCTTTTCGTTATTGTTTTTTTTGTACGTTCCTCACTTTTTTTCTTTTTCTTAAATTCTCATTGTTTTGTGTGACGCATATATATTTGCCGCACTCCTGTACCAATATATATGTGTTCAAATAAATAAATAAAAAGTTCGGTGCAACTTATTTACCAAGTTGCACTACCTGTCGAGGTAGATTTATTGCTAGGATTATGTGAATCATTCCAACCACCTCAGTCGAGAATGTTTATTGTCATGAGTGAAATCATCTGGCTAAAAAGCTCTACTTAGGAATGTAAGATGCGGATCCCAGTTAAGAAATATATGGGGACAGTATATCTACTGATCTAATCTCTTAATTATATACGCACGTAGCAATAGTAGAGTCAAAAAAACTAATCAATTATACGGATAACTCACAGGTGACAATATAATGTTTAGTATCTCAAGTTGATGTCTGTCCAATAAACATGATCAGTAGCTATAGACGTTGAGTATCATGGTTTATGACTGGTTACATATAAACTCACTCTACATCTTTCTCTAGATTTTAAGTTCCAATATTCTTCCACACATTTTTGAATCATACTCTCCAATATACATCTATCTTCTCACCATCATCGATACTAGACATATTTCGACTCTTTATCTCGTTAATTTCCTCCCATTGTGTTGATTTGGGACGGAAATATGGGCTGATGCGCAATTATGTCAAGTTCTACGTTGATTAAGGTTGAATTTCAGTATACACAAAAAACCGTAAAACCAGAACGTGGTTTAAATTTATTGATGACTGGTAAATGTCGAGTAGGATTTCGAATAAACTGAAAGACTCAGTTAGTTTTCTAAGTATTGACAAGTCAGCATCTAAACCCAATCTGATCAAACAAAGTTAGGTGCTTAAAATAAGTAGAGTCCAACCGAGTTCCGCGTTCCAGATAACTGTGTGGTGATATTATTGAAATAGATTTACTGTAACAGCCTTAATCATGTACTTTTTTGATACAATAATCCTGGCAGATATGACAAGGTGGACAATTACCATAAATTTTTTGTTGAACAAAATATGAGCATCAAATAACTAAAACAACCTAAATACTGAAGACAGAATCGACCTTTTTGATTGTTTCAATCGATTTAGATATATGACTTGTAGTCACTAGAACTGTTCAGCATTACAATAACAAGGTAACATGTAATTAGCTTTTACCGCAACTTTCAAATGAGACTACTTACCAAAATCTGAATTTATTGCGCTTCTTTTATTTGAATTGGTTACCGTTTGGCAGATAGTGATATACATCTTACAAAGACCAAAGTATTATATGTAACCTATTCATTTGAAACAAAACTCTACTAATGTTTATCATATGTTTATTTTCCATGAACAATTCTATGGTCATTTCTTAACGAATATTTCTATATTTTAGACAGATAATTCATGAATTCAAAATTGTCATCCATTCAGTTGGACTTTGACACCAGACAGACTTATATAATCAAAATTAAAATGAATTTTAAAATATTAGCTTTTCAATGTTACAAATTTATCAAAATGAAAACCAAGTAGGGTAAAACAGTACAGAGATTTACTTAAAATAAATAGGATTTTTTTCAAATCTAAAAACCATTTGTGAAAAATACAATACTCTATGTAAACATGGCAGAACCTTCTTGAAGTGAAACCAGTAGATAGCATAGATAAAAAAAAACAACTGCATGATAGAATTGGATACAACCAAGTCTACTGTTTCATTGTATTTTTATTCTTTTAACTAAAACGGGGACAGGGAATGAATAATTAAAATAAGAATCACTCATAAATGAGATCTCATATTTAGAAAAATAATGATACCACGAGTCAAAACTGCATGAACTTAAAAGGTAGGTATAGTGATCCCCCTTAGTAAAAATATGTTTTGCAATTTTTTCAAAATAAAAGTATGCTAAGCAACAATAATGACTGAACAATTGGGAAAAAACATTAGATGATGTTAATGTTGAATTTCTGCTTTTATTCTTAAATTGTTTCTCATTGTAGAGAATATATGATAAGCTGTTTAATATTTATGGCATAATTGATTTGAATGTACTAAGAGCTTCTAAAAGGACAGCACGTCTTTGTTCTGGTCTCAATATCGGCAAACTAGTTGCGATTTGTGATAGTTTATCTAAAATATCTTTTTCTACATCATTTTCTGTTGAGTCACTCATCATTGTTGATCCTGGTTGATTTTCTTTATTATCACCGACGGTATCGTCCTTCACTTCACTCTCTTTACTGTTCTCATTCATGATTTCATTATTATTGTCAGGCAATGTCGAGGATGTAACATCCCGTTCATCAATGGTTTCATTAGGACCAATGAGACTAGAAGTTACTACATTTTTATCATTAGTGTCGTTATTATCTGTTAAGATGGCAATTGTTTGAGAGCTTGAACTATTATCCTACATTTTGTAAAAAGAGTAAGGAAAAAAATTAGTAAAAAAGGTGAATATTTTAAAGAACACAAGTATTCATGTATTTAAAGTCTGCAAGGAATTATATGTTTTGCAACTAGTTATCTAATATATCACACTAACAAGAACAACCTAATAATGAAAGTAGACAATATAGGGTATTATTGAAAATAAATTTATAAGTTGCGATGCATACCTCATTGGAAAATCAAGGGGATGATCTAAGGCCGCCTTTTCAATATCATCGAGTAAAAAATCACAGTTAATGAAAAGGGTAAAATATGTAAAAACATTTCTTAACTTATAATGACAAATTACATCAACACCCTACTGAGTTTAAATCAGGGTCTTTTTTACATTGGTAGGATTATTATACTATAGATTATTAATCTACTCGTGTAATAATTCATGGTTTGCTGGCCAGTCTTAAAGATTGTGTGATCATGACATTTTCATATACAGTCAGTTAAGTTAGATAAATTCAAGAAAGGATATATATTCACACCGTTGTTCAAGTTTAATATTCTTAGAAATAAATGAAATTAATCAGATTTACGTTCAAAATATCTATAATTTCCTTTTTGAAACTCGAAGGAAATGATACATTCTTACAATAACATCAAATACTGAAACATATTGCAACACTAAATAGTGATATAACGATATAGAATTTGCAGGACAAGGAAAAAATTAACAATCATTAAATAGAAAATATTACCTTTGTATCACTATTATTATCATTATTCATTTCTGAACTCTCCTCTACATTGATAGGTGAGAAGTTATATTGATTTATTTGACTATTCATTGAAGAAATCAACTGATCTTCGGTGTTATTGATTTGACTACTACCTTGACTCCCTTCTATTAATATGCACTCATCATCAACATAACCATCAGTAGTAACAAATTCATCCTCTTGTGTTTGTTTATTAGAGCGAGAAGAATTGTCACCGGTGTCATTTGTTTGCAGAGTACTTTCCTCTAACTGAGTATCTGCTATCAAGGTTGACTCACTGTCGATTACAAGGATATTTTCTTTTTTATTCATATGAAGTGATTCTGTTGATTCACTTGTTTTTGAATCATAGGAAATCACTTCTGTTTGATGAACAGGCTCCATGAATAACGGTCTACCTTTGGATGACTTTAAAAGTTGGTTAGAACTTTGATACTTATATCCAGATGAGACTTTTTTAATCGGTAATTCCCGTCGTTGAGGAGAAGCTGATTTACGACGATGATGTAGACTTGATTCAAAACTATTTTCTGACAACGTACTGGGAGTTGTTTCTTTATCGATTTCTGTAGTAATCGAGAATCTGTATAATTATTGTGCACAGAAAAGAAGACAATTAATCTCAATTCAACTACTCCTGGAATAAAAAATAAACAGGCAACTTGGAAAACACTGACGTTGAGAATTTGAAAATGTAGCACAATATCATTGCAGAAAATATTTAGAAAAAAAAGTCAGTGCGTCTTTAGATAAAAAATATGTAGATTCTATCAGTCAGACGTAAGCAACATAGATCATGGAACGTTCGTCTACCAATTCAATTTACCATACCATATCAGTTAAGAGAGATAAAACTACAGATACAAATTCCAGAGTAGTGGATTAGTAAAAGTTCAAATAGGAATATAAAACATTCAATATAGACGATATAAGTTAACAGATAATTAGGAATTAATGGAATAGAAATAAGTGTAAGGTGATTCTGAAGCTTAGGATTCAAGGGAAGCCAAGAAGTGAATGATTCTGAGCCATTACCATCGAATCTTTGTTAATATATATATATACTAGGTTTATATTTAATGGTAGCACTAGTTAATAAAATAATTAATTATCAGATTGAGCTATGTTTGATGGTGCAGATTAACTAATTGACTTCTGCTCAATAATAGCAATCAATAAGATTAAATACGTTGAGTGTCAGGCTTTAGATTGACTAATATTGGCTAACTGATTAGAAAATAATTATTAGCGAAGTAAACCTTGAATGCTTGAGTTTCTTTTCATATAGACGATTTTTTTAGTAAACCACTGACAATCTTGAAATACAATATACAAATATACATTTAGAACATACACAGATTGTGATGAATCTTGTGAAGCATCTAAATCAACAGGAATCTGTTTCGATGTGACATCAGCTTGAATTTTTGACATAGGTATCTCATTTATTTCCATCTCTTCATTCTTTTTGTTGGATTCTTTCAATTCTTCGACATTACCGTTAATTACTACTTCGTCAGGTTCATTTCCATTCAAATCATTAAATTCCTCGTATTTATCACCATCATCATCATTACTGAATACGATTCTTTTTCTATTAGTACTGAAGTCAATTTGATTATCATGATCATAATCCTCATCGGATTCTTGTTCAATAGAATTCGTCGGTTCGATTGTATAGACTACTGGTTGTTCAACAAACGATACACGCTGAGATTTTTTCTTTGACCATAAATTCCGTATAATACCTTAATAAAGCGAAAATAAATGAATCTCATTAGGAAAACATCACAATGTTTTCTAAAAAAAAATTCAGATTAAATTGAATGAAACTCAGTAGGCAAGTACATATTTGAAAACTGTTTCAAGTTATAAATGTTGTGGTATGAAGGCTGATGAAATTACCCGGTGGTTTAAACGAAAGTAAATAGAATTGAAACAGAATGTGCAGCCAAATGTTTCGAAGAAAAGTGCCCTATCTGGTCAACAACCATTATGATTAACAAAGAATAATTTTAAAATACGGAACCTGTTACAATGAAGTGACTTGAGTTGTTTTTAATAAGAATACAATTATTCTACAGAATGAGGAGATAATGTAGTTGTTTTCCCTCCCTATTACTTCAAGGCTATGAAACAGTATTTTCAAAGAGCCACAGTGTAATCCTAAATGAAAATAAGGGATCGACTGATGTTTAGTGCCTGTTTTTGACTCCGTAACGATCTATTGATAATGACGTTAATAAAATATATATCCTATTTACTCCATATATATTTTGTCGATTAACACATTAACAACAACGGTAAATGAAAAGCCAATTACGAAACTGTTCTTATATATATATATATATATATATATATATATATCAGACATCCATTAATGCGGAAAGACGGCGGCGGATTCGAATTTCAGATACCACACAGGCCAGTTCAACCTTTATAAAAGATGAATGATGTATCAATTATCGATAACTAACTAGAGTATGGATGACAGACTCATAGAAAGCAAGCACATGTAAAAACTCACATTATATGATTAACAAAGTCATAGATAAAAGAGTTTGTAGTAAGAATATAAAATCCCTAAGCTAGAATAGCCAGACAAAAATAGACTACTTAGGAGTGTGATGAGAGCTGCTATAAATGATGAGGCTGTTAATCTTTATAAACTTAAGACAAAACCCTATGTTGAGTATTGCGCGAGTAGGTTGGGACAACACTAGAAGATGGAAAATAGCGGAATCATTGACTACTGTAATGTCAATTTATTTTATAATAACATGCAGCGCAGGAACTTGTAAGTTAAATAGTTGTTTCATCTCAGTCACAGATTAATTATAACTAAACAATCTAGGTTACTTTTTATTTCTATCCAATTTTGTTCAGATTCACAGGACCTACTCTTTAAATCATAACTATTAAACACATTGATCAACAAATAATGAAAACACACCCCTAAGGGTTTTACAATACAAAAACTAGAAAAAAATAGCTACCAGATGGAGAATCTGCTACCGAAGGATTGAGTGTCGAACGAGATGAAGAAGCCAGCAAATTTAACGTTGATTTTCGTTCTGTCAGTGTAGGACTATTATCCAAGGACAGATTACCACTGTTATGATCTCCGGAAGACGATCTCTGACGTGCAGTCTGTTCGGCGGCTTTTTGTAAACCTAATACAAGCATTTTCTGAGCACGACTTGATCCTAAGTAACGAGAATGTTTTTATAGAAAGATTACTGATACGTTACGAAAAAAATCCTATATATAAGAGAAAGGAAATTAGAAAACTTACTTAATGTGACGAGTCTCCATACATTATTTCTGAGATTTTTTCCTTGGATGGTTAAATCTACTTATCACTTGTCTCAACTCGAATTAAGTCAATTGTTGGTAAGTATTAATTAATTCAGCGAAGATTAACCTACATGCTATTATGCTTTAAACTACTCTTAGCATTAATTTAATTTTTAATGGTTTGGATTATCCCATTTTAGATAGTGATCAATCTAAGTTGACATTTGTGCAATCTGCGAGAATTGTCTCGATACAGACATTGAAAAAAGAAGAAACACGTGTCCTGGATTTCACTTCTAGCCACATTCTATCTATTCGATATTTACATTTTTTTATTACTTATGTGAAATCTCTTCATATAACTGATCTGAATATGAGTAACAATTGACAAGTTACACTTCAATTAACTGAAAACAAACCCACCAAAAAAGTTGGTTTTTGAAAAATAAACTGACTAGCTGTTTTCAATACTCAAGCAACACATGTATCTAGACTGATTTTCATCTATGCCGACTTAGTAAGTGAGGATGATCTTAATAATTATATACATCAACCTTATTGCATTCTTGTACACTTGAAATGACCAACCATTATTTGAACATAGCTACATTAACTAGCCAAGCTTAACTATTAAGTACATTATGTTACAACTTACAACCTAATGATCAATATTTTGTACTAACAGCTAATATATAAATCCATTTATGTCAATGACAAAATGACACTACAATTTTGTTTAGCCTTCAATATTGTAAACTTTACATATGCTTATAACTGTAAGCAGTGATGGACCGTGGCTAGCAGTGGAATTCAGGACTCAGGTTTCACCCTATTTGGGTTTTTTTTCAGATGGGTGTACTTTCATATAATTGGATTTTTAAGATAGCAATGATAGAATCTAAATGATTTTGATTTGTTGTATGTTGATTACAAGAGCTTTTGCTCTAGATGTGTTTTCTTACTTTATGTAATTCTTTACGTAAGATGTTAATCAATTGTTGTTATAAGTTCTTTATAATTATCATGGACGATCATTGTCCAAAAAGTGAATTTACCAAAAAAAACTATGCTACAGTTGAAGATCGATACTTTACCATTTACACTGAGTGTGCAATCATAGTAACGTATTTTCATCAGCCTACGGATTTCAATTAGAATAAATTTCGATTTAATAAATTTTAATTCCTAGAGTATGTCGTATTACTTCTCGGAGGTGCGTCGATAAGACGGTGTGATACCAGCAAACATAACGTTCAGTTATTAAGAGCAAGGAAAGAATTCAAGAAATGTGATTATACATTATTTTAAAAAGTAGAAAAAGGACTAAATCACTGAAAGATGAAGATTTATAAAAATGTAATTTAGTGGAAAATTACTAATTGACTTTGCACATTCCATATACAAAACGAAGACAATTAAAATAAGTTTATGTAACTAAAACCGACAGTATGCTACATCTCTATAAAACACCTGGATCATTTCTATTGAAAAAAAAATTATTGTTGATAGTAAATATTTTTCAAGACAAAATACGAACACTAACCTCTTATTAATGGGCTAGATAATGTATGATTATTCGGACGAGAGGTTAAAATTGGTGGAATAGACACAGTAATGGTCGGAGGTGATACCTTATCGTTTTCATCTTTAGGAGACTGTTTAGGCAAAGTTGTTGAAGGTAAATTAAACGACTCGTTAAACTGATTTGAATTTGTTTGATCGGATAAATCTGAAAATATTTTAGATGAAATTAAAAAGATTGGAATTCATTCACTGAGGTACGTAAAATTCAGTTTTAATAATACTCATTAAATCCCATTGGATACGTAATGGGAACTACGCCACAATCAATTTTTTCCAATTCTTTGGCTAACCTTCATTTTATTATGCAATTCATCACATACAGTTTTTAGTTTACTTACTTTATAGAATATTTTTGAGTTAACAGCAATTGCTATTTTGTACGATATAATACTTCAAACAAATCTACTTTCTCGTACATATTATATTCATCTATTGCGAAGGAAACACTCTACATTCCACCATTTAATGTTATTAATCGCCTTAATCGTACTAGGAATTGAAAACAGGACTAATGTTATTGGCATCATTGATGAGTCAGTGCGCATATTGCTCTGATGATTAGCCGTTAAATTTACAACATCTTTTCTAATAACTAATAAATAGGAATATATGTACTTCCTTTGGTTGATAGCATGGCAATCTAAACAATGTTATCTTACATTTCATTATTCAACCATATCGAGGTACTAGAAACAGTATTTGAAAAATCCAGATATATAATTCAAGAAGATGGAGAAACTTTTTTGAAGATGCGTTACCTAAGCTGGGTTGTTATTCAGTTGTGAAGCTTTAATTCTCTTTCTAGACAACATCATCAGCACACACTTCGAAAATAAATGAGCTGATAGGATTTCTCCACAGATGACTAACGAACGATTTGATTATTTGTTGTCCGTAATTGGAGAAAAAGAGATGTAGAGGAAAACAAATAACGTGACGGAATTTTGACGAGTTTTAGAACTTACTATGGTTTCAGAATCATGCTGAGAATTAATAATATATTAACACAGATTAGAAGTAGTCAACCATAACATTATTTTAACTTTATGAGTGCAATTCGCTCAAAGTCGTTCAAAATAGAATATTAAGTGGGCCAAATCACTAACACTAGTAAGTTACGATACGACCTAACCCATACTTTTAAGAAACATTTGAGTCAACAATATCCACTTACTATCTACAGAACGAATGAGGTCTCAGGACTCGGTGGTAGCTGGGACCGACCAGAAAAAAGTGTCAAATTGAAGGCGTAACATTTATATTTGGCAATTAATCAAAAAGTAAGGTTATGGAAAAATTAGTTTTTACTCAACAAAACGAAATAAAATATAGTAAATAGCATTTAGGAATTTCAAATAAAAACATGTTACACAAATTTATACACATTCACTTTACCAGATGTATTCAATTTAGATGAGATTTCATCAACACAATCTAATTCGCATTCTGTATTAATTGTCTCAGTATCTTGTATGATTTCAAAGTCATCCTTCAGATCCTGTAAGTTAGAAAATACAAATTAAACTTGTTAGTATAGTATGAATAGAAAACTCATAAAATAATCTGTTGTGAACTGGGACTGGTTAGTATGCGAAATAAAACACTTCTACACCATAATTAGTAACATAAATCTCAAAACTAGAAGTTTGATTTTAATGTGGATTGCTTGTAATTGCTGGTTTATTACCGGTTTTCCAATCGCTGAATAGGACATCATGTGAGTTGTGTATATGTATCTAACACAGTGGTCTAATAATCTCATGTTTAGTGTATCGATCTAGTGCCCAGATAGTATAACATTGCGGTAAATGGAGATTCTATTTTTATTTTCCGTCACAACATTGGCCACAAATCTACGTAATATTATTTACAATTTGTGATTGTATATTTTTTGTCAGTTAAGAATGAATACTTGGGAAGACTTGCTAGGTCTATTGGAAATAACAAGTATTCTAAGAGAAAAACTTAGCGATATATTTTTATTGTGGAACCTACAAAAGGTGAAAAAACGTAACATGTATAATATAATTTATGCTCAGAAAAATCATCAAACGAATACTACAAGTTCTGTGTATGCAAATGTGCCACAATGCTTACAAATAATGTGTGAGTTATGTATAGATAACGTAGATTGATAGTCAAATTATTCACAACATTGCAGTACAAAGATGAAACACTGTTTCGTGAAGGAAGAACAATCATACTGGATGAAGAGGCAAAAGAAAATTGACGTCAGAGTGTACAATGTCAATTATTTCAAACGAAGCTAAATATGAAATCCTACGTAAAATCTTCTCGAGGAAGCTAGTGTGGGCTGTGAATGACTAGTAAACAAAGAAAAACATCCACGCCATAATTTGTAGCATAAATCTTTATCTCTACACTAGAACTTTGAAATTACTGTGTCATTCCTCTTTAAAACCCGAAATTCTGAAGACCTTAATAAAGAAATTTTAATGATTTAACAGAAGCTAGGTGAATATTTATATTTTGGTTAGCCATTCAAAGTTTAGGCAATTGTGTAAATATGATCTGTAAGAGGTATAAGAAGACAGATCAAATTTAATCTTGTGTAACAAGTAGTCATTAGATATAACCAACTCATTCATCTGGCTGAAAAAACACTGTATCAGTAAATCCAAATCAACAACAGGGTTGATATTTATGTGTCGGAATCTGCACTACACTTTCGTAAGTGAGGGGCTGGGCTAATACAACAATCGACTGCTAAACTTGAAATCGAAATGATTGAAAAAAGAGCTTTGATCATAATAATGTCAGCCTTGAAAGCACCGTCAACTACATTGTAATGTTGTAAGTGAATAAAATTGTATATATTAGCGATGAAACTATTTTTCAACAAATAAATTGACTATAAAGAAATTCTTTAGTCAAGACAGTTATGTCAATTGAGAGCAACATTGACGACCTAAAAATAATGTGTGTTTGTATGCACAGATGCATACGAAATCTGATATAACTAAAATCAAGGAATCAAGAGAAGAAATCGGTTTCCAATTAGTTTTTCATTATGGCTTTAGACTAATATAAATGATTCACAACAATGAAGTAATACTCGAGTAGTTGCGTAACGTAGTAATTTTATAATGAAATATTGATTATAGCTAAAATCATCAACAAGGACTTACAGATTCTTTCTCAGTGAGAGGATCAATCGATGGAGATGGAACAGCTCTAAGTATTTTTTAAAAATCAAAAAAGGCAAAATGTGAATTTCCACGACAAAAATCCTCATAAACATGAAATACTGATTTTATAAATAAATCATAATTCACTGAAAGCGAATATGTTTAACATTGAATAAACACAGAGGGGCTCCAGGCGAAGTTTTCAATAAACACAGAGTTCTGGATTAATGTTACGTATCTTACAATTATATATATATATATATATATATATATATTATAGGCAATAATATTCGTTACAAAAGTATAATCAAAAGATAAATTACACGAATAATACAAGATACGAATGTGAATACAAGAGAAAATATATAGATTTATCATCAGAATGATTGAATTATAAACAATTTACAACATTGCATACATAAAGTTTGAAGGATTGCTACTTCTCTTTACTCTTTATTATATCATGTAAGGATTAGCAAAGATTAGAATTAACCCGTTATTGATAATCAAAACTGAACTTTGATTAGACTTTGTTGTCGTATGCACATTAGTGTTTAGAACGATAGGTACTGGGTTTCGAGTGTAAAATAGGAAAATTGACACTATGATTCATGTACAACCCCAGCTGCCAAGTCCAAAATAAGTCGAAATAAGTATTCTGGACTTTATTGCTAACTAGAATTTATCTATTTTATAAAACTTGTTCTATATAATGTCCTTTTTTTTTCTCAAACTACTGAAGTTTCATAAAGTAACACTTTTTTTGCACATTATCCTTAACGACTAAGATAATTAACTGAAATCAATAATAAAGAGTATATAACTTATAGATCTTCTGATTAGTTGTTTCATAACGTTTCTTTGTTACTTTGAATAGTTTTCTGTTTTATTGACCAAAAACAAATAAAGAATAATTTTAAAATTTTAATGTTTAAAATAAAATAAAAGTGGAGATAGAGATAGAGAACTAAAACTATTCATTTAGAATGATAACAATAAACTGTCTCTTTTACATAATAAAATAAAGTAAACAATACTAACACTTAGATGAACTGAAACGAAGCAGTAATATTTACATTGACATTCTAAACTTTTTAAAAAAAAACTTAACACAACAAAAATAATACAATAGAGAATAAAGAAATTTGTGTGGTTTGGACAAACATGACCAACAATAATTAAGAGAACCTATAAACGCTTAGAAATTTATTTAGTTATCAGATAGGTGATAGGTAAAATAATACAATGAAAAATGAAAGTGTTTTAATAAAGTGAACAGATGTAAATTTTGATAGTCCGGTATTGGAAGCAAGATGGATTTGAGTTTTAAATCAAGATTTTTTTTTCTAAAATCGAATTGAATTTCACGAAAGTGAAGTGTTAACCAACATCAAGGAAATATTCTGAACATTTTGTCGAACTATTACCACTAAGAAAAGATTAGTTATGATTTGTTATTAAATTTGCTGGAAGGACATTCCCTAAATGTTTATTTCATGTTTGATAAGTTTAATCAATCGAAAACACTCAACTTTTCTCTTGAATGGTATATTAATACACATTTGTAACTATTAGAAGCATGATTTTAATGTCTTGAAGAATCTTTGAAAAAGCAATTGAATTATTAGTAGTGCTATTGATCTGTGAGTGTGACTCTACAGAAAGCAACAGCCAACTGTTGTTTGAGAATAGTTAAATAGGACTCCATATGGAGAAATAAATTCATTACTAGACATTAATTAACTATCAATGTAGAGGCTAATATGATTTAATATATGACACTTATTATACTGTGAACTAAACAAGAGCTTAACGTTGAATTGATGATTTTCAGTTCAGGCGCTGTGTTCTCTACATTAAAAAAAGAAGAATCGATAATGTTGTTCAAAACGAATGAAAGCTCCACTCTTAAACTATGGTGCACAAAGTACACAATACAATAAAGAGTTTAGTTTTTTTTTCACTGGAAAAAAGATATATACTTACTTCGTAGGTATGCATTCGGATTCCATGCAAAGTGGACTAGTAGAAGTCTTAACAGTAATATTTTCGGTCTGACTGCTTTCGTTGTTCAACTCCTCTGTTACATTCGGTTTCGTATGAGAGTCTAGTGGTTCTAGTGTTTCAGAGACTTCTTGACAATCTTTGTTGACAGATGATTGGGGACTGAATTCAAGTTGAGACTGCGATTCACTACCACCGCCCCCACCACTTATGGAAGACCATGATTGTTGACTAATATCTAATTCATTGTACATAGTAGGTATATATTCACGTCTAGTAAACAAATAAAGTTTTAAGTAGACAAAATATTAGACACGAGTAAGAATGTTGACGATAACAAATTATGTTAAAATCTCATAGAAAGAAATTCAAGTTTTCTGGTAAATCAAAATAAAGCTTAGTAATAAAACTGAATCTAGGAATATAGATAAAAGTATTACACTCAATCAACAATATATATTTACAATTGGAACACTGAATAATGAAAAAAATTATAAACTGCTTAAAAAGTTTAGTTGAATTAATAAAGAGTTTAGTAAAGATTATGAACATTTTACATTTTTTAAATCATGAACTCATATGTGAGACAGTTATTTGCCACAGGTAAGGGAAGTTGGTCGCACAATTTTGTGAATCGATTACGGTTAGTCATCAACACCATTGAATCCAGGCTGTAGTTTAGAAGTTGGTCATAGTTTCAATGTCTGTATGCGGGGTCATGGATGCACATTGCTAACAAGTACCATACTAGGATGAGGTGGCCGTTTAGTGCTTTCAGGTTCTAAGTGTTGGCATAAAATCAGTTTGTGATCCATTCGAATATGATTATATACGTTTGATAAAAATTATTTTAAGATGTATTCAATTTTACTATTAGCCAACAAATATTCGATTAGTTTTAATAGGCCATATCCTGCCCGTTGTTGCTACCTTGACGCGGTGGTCAAGCTTGCTTATACTGGCTGGAACAATCATTCCACAAGGTCCTACTATAACAGACAGGTCAGTTGAAGAACGGTAAGACCAAAAGCAACAAACCCAAGGTACGAGAGTGAAATCGTACAGATGACTATACAGAAGTGTGACGGCAGTAAGGTGTTTCCTTCAAACAACCAGCATAACAGCAATACTGCCTTCCCACAAGGAGGGGTGGGGTTAGAAAAGGTCGACCCTAAAAATCCACACCTCGCCTTATATCACGGATATCCGTCTCCAGCGGTAAGGTTTCAACAATACGGAGCTAACACGAAAATTACCCATAAACAGGCTGTGTGTGACCGACCTCAAGCAGTTGTCCCCTGGACACAGCGGTCACGCTCCCATGTTACTAAGACCACCTCTAACCCAATTTCCTTGTGAGGTACCTCCAAAAGAACCCTTCCACGGTGTGGGCAACCGGGAAGTGATAACGGCCCTCATAATAGGTCATATACACACAGTACGATCAAAAACCTCTAGAATGAATAGCAACTCTGTTAATTTTGGAAAACAACATAAAACACAATGTATCTTATTAACCTACGATGCCATAAATATATGGTAAAATACCATTTAATATCTAATACAATTTACTTTCTACCAATATATCATAAGTTTCAACCCCGCAACATCTCGTTTGATAGCAAGATGATGGAAACCCTAACCCTCAGATATGATTAACGCAAGGATCAGACTTAACATTCAAGTTCAATTTAATTGGAGAGTAAGTGACTTACGAAACTGATTTCCTTTAATTGTATATGATATTTAATCATATTATTTTGTTAAAGAAAAAACGTATTTATCTTGGATAGTTGTCTTGTCTTCTAATATCAGTTTCATTTGAGGTATAACATCAATAATTCAGTCAGTCAGTCAGTAACAACGTAGAACTTCGTACGTACGTACATCAGTTCGAGTTGCCATACCACATTAGCACAGAGATGCAATGGTCGACTCAAATCCCGTAGTGTTAGAGGTAATAAGAGTATAAGCAGTAATCGGGAAAATTAGTGTTTGGAGATGTTATTCAAAGAGTATAATCCAGTGAAAAAATTTGGGAAGAGGATTAAAAGGGACATAAAAAATTCAGATGATTAGAATTTGGGAGACCACAAAGAGTGGATGCACCTGCGTTATTGCAAACAATTTTGAGTCATGTCATTCAGGGTCTCTAACCATCGGTTGCTATTATCTCGCGGTCCCCAACCAGGTAGTCATTGACGTACTTTTAGAGATAACTTTCCTCGTCTAGATTTCCAGGGGTTGAACTTCTACCGGGAGATTAACTTTTGACCTAGAATATGCCGATGACATAGTTTTATTTGGTGAAGACGCTGACAAAATGCAGAGTCTTCTGACCACTCTAAGCAACAATGCAAGCATGTTCGGGATGCGATTCTCTCCCTCGAAATGCAAAATGTTGCTTCAGGATTGGGTTACATCGACACCCGAACTAGTGATAGGGAGTGAAGTAGTTGAGCGTGTCGATCGCTTCACTTATCTTGGAAGTCTCATCAGCCCTTGTGGTTTGGTGTGTGACGAAATCTCAGCACGGATACAGAAGGCTCGACTAGCTTTTGCCAACTTGCGTCATCTATGGCAAAGGCGTGATATCCGTCTATCAACCAAAGGACGTGTTTACTGTGCAGGAGTTCGCTCCGTCCTACTTTATGGCAGTGAAACATGGTCGGTAAGAGTAGAGGATATTCGTAGGTTACTAGTATTTGATCATAGGTGTCTTCGAAACATTGCTCGTATATCATGGGACCATCGGTCTCATGAACAGCCATAATTTGGCCATTTTACATCACTGTTTATCATCTATCAATTGGTATTCTTTTGCATCATTTCAACAATCAAAAATCCACTCATAGAATCCTACTTTATAAAAACTTGGCATTAATCACTATTTTGTTCAGAAGGTTTTGGGAAACTAGACTACAAATAATAATAAGTATAAAGAAAACTTACAGTTGCTCTTTGAAACGTTCCTTCTGATGAGTAGTTAAACAGCGACGTCGTTTCTTCACACTTTCTGATTGAGGTGGGATGAAAATAAACTAAAGAAGATAAATTTTGAGGAAAAAGCAGCACAGAAGAAAGAATAGAGTTTGAGCAACAGTTTTTAAACAGAAATTACTAGCAAACCAATTTACAAGGAATAAAAGTACACAGAATTACATAAAGCTGAGTATTTTTCGAGAAACCGAGGTCAATTTCTTTAAGCTAAGATGGAGTATATTTTTTCCGCTAGAATGTGAATAAAAATCAACTTTTACTTGGCTAAATCTAGTTAGTGATCACTCTACAACACATCGCTTGGAAAGGCAAATTCAAAGTAAATGATACTAATTACCCAAGAAAAGCAATCTTCATGCTAATTGCACGATTTTGTAATAACCCCAATAAAATGTCAAAAGAAAAAAAACGAGATATTTCAATAATTATCTGACGTATCTATCTATGTAATAATGAAATAAATTATGTGAATTGTGGGTTGAATAATACTGAAATAAAATGAATCACGATAACACCACACTGACAAATTATTTTATTCAACTTACATCACAAGTATCTTCACAACAAGTTGAAATAGTTACAACCTTAGAAGAAGTAGTGGTATTTTGTTCCGAGTCAGAGAAATGTCGTTTCCTTGTTGGTTGTAATGACAACTGATTAGAATTGTTTGATTTACTTTCTGTCACTGGCACTTCCTGTGGTCCACCGAATAAGCGGCGTTTAACCAATGGACGACACGGAAGTGGGCCAGGAGATGTTACTGTAGGAGACCAATTATGATTATCGTTTTCATTATCTATGAGACTTGTACCAGGTGGAATTCCAAAAGCTTCAGCAATAATACCATTTGTAGGTGATGGTTTAGGAGAGGCAGGAAAAAGATTAACACCTTTTCTACGGCCACGCCTAGATGAGGAATTAGATGGAGCTGACTGAGTAATATTTTCTGTTTGTTCAACTAAATGAGGATAGAAATGAGATAATATTTGAGAATTTCAATAACTTTAAATTCCAATAACGGTTTACCTATTTTAAACCAAAAAATATCTGTAAAAAAATAATTAGCTTTACAGTTCAGTGGCACTTTAGTCACTAGAAAATAAATAAACTTGTATTGCAGTTTAAGCTTATAAGGAACTTCATAACCTTGTAATATATTGATTACTGGTTTATTAACGATACGTAACAATATGTACGAATATGGATTACATTAGTACAAACAATTGTTTAGTCTTTCAACAAAGACTAAGCAAAGAACCCATTGAGTACTTGAAAATTTCTTGATAAGGAAAAGGATTTTCACTCTTTAAAAATATTCAATACTTCTTTAAGTAAAGGGGTAAAAATGATATCAATGATATTAAATGAGAGCTCTTGTAGTTAAAGGATTAAGAATGTTCATATTCTCCACTCTATGGCTTCTGTTTGTTAGTTAATCTTACATTGAAATCGGAAATAAAAAAGATCATGATGAAGTAATTGACAATACTTTTAATCGAATTTGTTGAAGTTCTACGAATGAGTTCAATATTATTCTTTATGTAACACGGCGATGAACAGTAATTTTATGTTAAACAGTAGTTATAGAAAAAATATTTTACATCATTTAGGTTAATGGCATAAACGTAGAAATAAACAAGCATAAATTATTCACCACAAAACACTTTTTATGTTTTATTACCAAGATCATTTTCGTTCAAAGAACTGTTGCTTTGAATTACGTAAAAAGTAATAAATTAAGAACTTAGTTCGGCAATAATAAACAAACAACACTTACATGATCGTCGAACAGGTGTAACCATTTTTTCAATTGGACTATTAACTTTTACTAATGAAAGGCGCCCTCGACGTGATCGAATAGAAGGGTTATGTGAAGGTTTTTTAGGATCATTATTATTCTGTGAAACAAGAATATCAGAGAACAAGTCACCCACAATTGTATTTGATTTCCGGGACTTCTAAATTTTAATAAATTACCAATTGTTAATGTGATGGACAAACAAAATACATATAAATAATACTAAAGTAAATGATGTTAAGACCGAAAATTGTTTAAAACACACTTATATTCTTTCATGTAATTATAAGCAAATTATAAAAATGGTTATTTGCTGTTAACATTAGTTCAGTAAATTGATCCTTTCCAAAAACTTTTCAAGATTTCCAAAATTCTCCAACATTGTTTGTCTTGTATGACCTATGATACTTATTTAAAATGAATTAGTACAACAGATGAACATATTAAGAAAATGATCAATTAAAGTCCGAAACATCAATGGGAAGATTCAAGCAACCAATATAAGAACGAATCAAACTTCAACCAATTATACAAGCTGGTGGCTATCAGGACTCAGTAGTTGAGTGGATAACGTGATGGCATTTGAGGCGAACGGTATTGGGTTCGAATCCCGGAGTGAACATTGACTCTGGGATGCAGGTACATCCAGCTGAAGGAACGCAAGTCCTGGATTCCACTGCTAGCCACCATCCATCTTTGCCTATAATGCTAGTGACTTGATGCAATATCGAGGAGATCCGCACAGGATACAAATGTGTCAAAAAGACTGATTAATTGCAGTCCTAAACACCAACAGGATTCAGACAGCCAATAAAAAATGAATATATTTTTTTTATAAAAATTAATTTAATAAATTACCTCTGGTTTAAATTTATCTTTAGCAAAAGATAATCTTTTATCAGAACGTGAAGTGGTTACCAAAGAATCAATAGGAGAGTTCTCTTCTATTTTCAACTTCAGATTATTAGAAATTACTGGCGATTGGGAAGAAGAAGAGGAGGACAATCTTTTTGATAAACGAGACAGACGTTTAGTTGGTTCCGACTTAGGCGTTTTGCGAGAAATAGATTTACGCCTGGAGGTACTCTTTTCACTAGGACTTAAGTCAGTCAATTGTTGAATATTTGGATTTAATGTTCGTATAATAATTTTTTGAAATTCAGGTTCCAAATTAATCAAAAAGTTTCGAAAATTTAATAATTTTGACGAATTACTTTTAGTTTGTTTTACACAATACTGGTCGACTAAATAATTCCAAAAACCGATGAACCAATTCATGAAAGTAACAGACAATTGAAGTGCTGTAAAATAAAATAAAATATGAAGCACTCAATCATAAGTCCATCAAAAAACATCTCAGCTTCTACTACAGCGAGAAGTTAATAAATTAAAAATCAAGAAAACAACTTGGGTTATGACTATTACTATTGAAGTCTACAATAAATGATTGTTTTTAGTCCACATATAATATGCAGAAGCAAAAACTGAAAGTCTTAATTTCCTATAATAGATAATCTCATATATAAGCTTGGAAATCAGATTTGTAAAAATATAAAGGTTAACGTGTACAACATCTAGGTACAGAGTATTCTGCTAACAAACTAGTGTTAAGATAAAATGAACTGTAATTTTGAGTTATTTTTAACCTATCTTAATAATTAAATTGCAATTCGATGGGCAAAACTCAACCGAAACTAAGGACTAGACACAGTAACTGTCAGTACTTACTAACTGTTTGGTAAAAGGCAAAAGAATAGCTGACATAAAACTTTTTCAGTGAAGAAATGATAAGATTTTCGGTTCCAGAAAGATGAACCTTTATGTCGAAAAATTCCAACACAGTTTAGTACATACATGAGTAAGTTTGTCCATATATGTAAGTTGACCCAAGAAGCTAACACTTTCCGAGAGAATGTTTAAGTATTAGGAAGCCTATTTTCTATGGGTGACGAAAAGAAGAATCTAGTCAATCTACAACAAATTGAAGCATTTATTCAAAATATTTTTAACTTGTGAACGAGACAGACTGTGTTTAATCTTACGTAATGGGAACAATATAGGTTTTTCATACCGCTTAGATAGTAGATCGAGTTTGATTTTAAATAGCATTTTTTAAGGTCTCAGTATAAAGTGAAGTCTTTCCCTAGAACAATTTTGCTTCTGGTAGTTCTTAAGCATATTTCCAGACGATTTTGTAAGACACAGAATTCTATGACACCCAAAAGTTTTGTCCAGTTTTCTCCTGGAACTGTCGATTTTAGAACAAAAACACTTCAGGAACATAATTAATTCCCCCGAAGAACTAGATAAAAATGCAACTATTGCAAGATTTTCATAATCTAAATTACATATTCGTCGATAAACATAGGGGATACCCACACTATAATAACACAATGGTTGGATTCAGGAAATTCACAATCAACGGACTTTGAAGTAAAAACATAATACTTCAGTAAATATTATAAGCGATGTGTTATCGGTCATATACTAAACTAGTTTGAGAAGAAAAGTAAGACAAAACCAGCATGTAGCCCTTCCTTTCTTTTAATTATTACCAAGTAGTGCTGCCTAATCGGAAAGTGAACCTCTTAACTGATTACTAGTAAAACACAAGGACAAATAAATAAAAACGAGTGATTATATATATATATATTTATTTACCACATTCACAAGATTCTTGATTCAATTTCACATTGTAACCACACAGTGTGAGTGATAAGCTGAGTATAGCTTCATATTGAGCAATCGGATGTATGGAATCAGATATTTCCGAATTAAATACGGGAGTGGTAGCCGGCGTTTTCAGATCTTGTTTATCGGGAATTGTATGAAACATGGACAGTGGATTATTGATGGATACATTGGGAGGAACAACTTTCATCTGTTTCCAAATGCATATGAATACTTCCTCCAGCTGATAATATTAAAAATCACAATTAAAATGAAAATATATATTCACAGTTATATACGGTAACACAATGAATTATTCAAGTATAAAACTACTAATTAATAATGATATAAAGTTCATAAGTTTTTATAAAGTATCCATTAGTTTTTGAACAATCGACTTTTAACCAACGATTTTCATACCAATAAACCTACTGAGGTTCGGACAATTTAATAATATCAGATACGTCTATGAAAGAATTATAACTCATGAATTGACGTGTGGTGGACGATAAAAATAATTGATACCTTTGTCTTCATTATTATATTTAAATATAAAGCCTTACCACACCACTGGAGTATACATTTATTATTTTTAATCGGCTTGAATAATTAAAGATATTATTTTGATTGAACAGTATGAAATTTGATTTCTGGTCATATTATACTAGATAAAAATAAAGGTCATTAATGGTGACTTACTGCTAATTTAGCATGTTGTCTGTGTTGAGTAATTAAAAGTGGTTCATCTAGATCTGTTCCTGCTTCAATAACAGCTTTTTCCGCTTTTACACAACAGTCAACCAAACGAGTTAAACTCGACTCCAGCTTAGAAAACATTGACAAGACAGAATCTGTCTCATGAAGATGATTCTAAATTGTTAATAATAACAAAAATAACAACAGTTAAGATTAATATGAAATGCAGTAAAACGTTATTTTAGTCTACCATAAAAGCTTGATTGATATAGCTAAGTTTGATAAACTCCAACTTCCATGTTTAAATACTTTAATTTGGATACCCATAAACAGTATTTTCAGATTCCAACTAGCTAATCTATCAGCAAACATTTTCATTGGCTAAAGGCGAAATAGTTTTCGTTTAGTCCAACTCAGATGCATTTACTCTTTCTCTTCTTAGTCAGTCAGTCAGCTACAACGTAGGACCAGGCACATATATGCATCGGTCCAGGTTGCCATACCTCATTAGCACAGCAAGATGAACACCGGATTCACAGCAGTGGTTAGGTCAAAGGTGGTAATATATAAGAGAAAGATTGCATATAGAGATATAGTACAAGAAGAAAGAATTGGTTCGTAGAAAGGTATGAAGCGATTTTAATCTCTTAGTTTAAGGGAAGACAGGGAGTGTATACACCGACGCCATTGTGAACGATTCTGAGCCATTTCACCAAGAGTCTCCAACCATCGGTTACGACAGTCACGCGGACCCCAACCAAGTAGTCTGCATCTACCAACATGGCTCAGACTAGAAGTTAGTGTCTTCAAGCACTGATGCCACGTTTTGGTTTGGCCGCCCCTAACTTTCTTCCAACCATCTCTAACACCTGTTAGCATTGCACGACGTGATAATCGGTGTTTATGCATACGTAACATGTGGCCCAACCATCTCAGTCGATGAAGATTAACAACCTCATCAACTGATTTACCATCATTCCCTAATACCCTGCGCCTAACCTCACTATTACTTACCCGGTGATCCCAACAGACGCCAGCAATATTTCTAAGGCATCTGTGGTCAAATACTAGTAGCTTACGAGTGTCTTCTACTCTTAGTGGTCATGTTTCGCTGCCGTAAAGTAAAACAGAACGGACTACCGCGCAGTATACTCGTTTTTTTATTGACAGACGGATATCTCGCCTTCGCCAAAGGTGACGTAAGTTGGCAAAAGCCAAGCGAGCTTCTCGAATCCGTGCTGAGATTTCGTCAGACACCAACCCATTAGGGTTGATCAGACTTCCAAGATAAGTGAAGTTGTAAACGCGTTCGACTACTTCACTCCCTATCCTTAGTTCAGGTGTTGACGCAGGCCAGTCCTGAAGCAACAACTTGCATTTCGAGGGAGAGAAGCGCATTCCAAACATTCTGGCATTGTTGCTTAGTGATACCAGAAGACTGCATTTTGTCAGCGTCTTCACCAAACAGGACTATGTCATCCGCGTATTCTAAGTCGATAAGTGGACCTCCTGGTAGGAGATCAATACCCGAGAATTCAGTAGACGAGAATCTTATTTCCATTAGTAGGTCTATGATGAAGTTAAACAAAATGGAGAAAGTGGACAGCCTTGACGGACACCACTTGAGGTTGCAAAAGCACATGACAGTTCGCCATAAGCTCTTACTCGACTAAAAGTGTTCGAGTAAAGAGCCTTCACAAGGTTTAAGTACTTCTGAGGTACGCCTTTCAATGACAGACACTGCCATAGAATCTCGCGGTCTACAGAGTCAAATGCTGCTTTTAAGTCAAGAAAGACCATCATTGTCGGACGCCGATAAGTATGCCTGTGTTCTAGGACCTGACGAATGGTGAATATGTGGTCGATGCAGCCACGACCAGGTCTGAAACCAGCTTGGTTTTCTCGTGTTCGCAGTTCACGAGTCTTAGTTAGGCGTTTGATAATTATCGAGGCCAGTATTTTAGATACTATGTTTGTTAAACTAATCCCTCTGTGGTTGTCACAGGATGATTTTGACCCTTTCTTATATATTGGGACGATAAGTGATTGCGACCAGTCAGATGGGATAAAGTCTAATTCCCAGATCTTAGCTAAAATATTAGTCAACTTAATCGCTAAAATTGGACCACCATCCTTAAAGACCTCTGGAGCCAATCCATCTGGACCAGCTGCCCTTCCTCGTTTCAGATTAACTATAGCCTTTTGAACTTCAGCAAGAGTAGGGGGACCTACTTCAATGTTCCATTCACACTGTCTGGGAATGGAGGGTAGTTGTAGAGTAGCTGAAGGCCAGTTGAACTGTTCTCTGAAATGTTCCGCCCATCGTTCTAAACGTCTGAACTGGGAGCAGATGAGTGTGTCGTTTGTTTCCGAGATAGTATCACTTACACTTAACTTATTAATTCCAGTTTCTTTTATTAGTCTGTAGAGCTGTCTTGTGTGTCCCTATAGCCGCCGCCTTTTCCATTTCTTTTGCCTTCGTTGCCCACCACTGCTCACGGTAGTTTCTTAGACTTTTGCTTAACCTAGATCTGATTTGTTGCCCCTCTTCATCGTGTTCAGAGCCTGATGGGATGAGTTTACGAGAATCCATCAGTGGAATAGACCTTGAGGAAATCCGTTGGTTCTTTGTGACCCTGTGGTTTAAATCACTGATAGATGTCACTGCTGTTTCCACAGCTGTTTGTATAGCTTTGCAAGCAACATCTGGTTCAACCTCGTTTTCACAACTACCTAAGTGTGACCTCAGTTGTTCCTGGAACCTACTTTTGGTTTTCTCGCTACTCAATTCAGTTTTAATGGGTCTTTTTACTGTGGCTTTTTTGAGTCCAGTGAGGCGCAAGTAGATGCGTGCCCGTATTAGGGCATGGTCGGAGTCCAAGCAGGTACTCCAGAATGAGCGACAATCTTCTACCGACCCTCTCCAACGATGACTGGTGGCAATATTGTCTATTCGAGTCTATCGTTAGTTTGGTGTAGGGGGTCGCCATGTTAGACGATGTCTCTCCTTATGCTTAAAATTTGTGTTTGCTAAAAATAAACGATTGTCTGAGCATAGTTGCTGTGCCGGAATACTAAAATACCCACGTAAATCCCTTTCTTTTTGGTTTAAACTACCTATCTGGGCATTAAAGTCACCTGCTACGAGTACTATGTCTGAACGTTTAGCTTTCTGAAGAAGTTCAGATAGCTTTCTGTAAAATTCATCTTTCACTTCATCTGAGCTGCAGTCGGTGGGAGCGTAGGCAGAAACGACAAAAAGGTAACGACGTATGTCCCTATCCTTCCGAGTTCTTACGGAGCCATTTAGCCGAACAGCACATAAACGACTGTTAACGGGGATCCACTCTAACAGTGCTTATTCCGCCCTCATGCTTAGTGCTATCCCTACTCCTGCCAGTCCACGAGAGCTAGCCGTCGGGTCACCAGATACACGGAGGGTGTATCTCGTCGGCTCTCCGTGTTGCCGAGGCGAGGTCAAGTGAATGACCACACTGGGATCCTGTATGCGTGTTTCAGAGACACAGCATACATCAATGGTACGAGATTCTAGGGTTTTAGCCAAGGAAGCTTGTTGACCGATTTGACATAGGGTGTGTACATTGAAGGCTCCAATGTGTAGTTTGGAGCGAGGTTGCAGTAGACCTGGGATAGTGTTTTGAGCACTAGAATCGTTCGTTATGATGACATTTGAGGAGGAAGCCGAAAAAGGAAGTTTAGAGGTGAAAGTCGATGTAGGAGGAGTAATAGAAAGTGAAAAGGGAGGCTGATTATGAATACAGTGGTCTTGAGTGCTGTTAGAGGTATGAGGGCGGTTTTCACTTCCCGGTTGCCCACACCGTGGAAGGGTTCTTCTGGAGGTACCTGAAAAAGAAATCGGATTAGAGGTGATCTTAGTGACCTAGGAGCGTGACCGCAGTGTCCAGGGGACAACTGCTTGAGGTCGGTCACACACAGCCTGTTTATGGGTAATTTTCGTGTTAGCTCCGTAATGTTGAAACCTTACCGCCGGAGACGGAAATCCGTGGTATAAGGCGAGGTGTGGATTTTTAGGGTCGACCTTTTCTAACCCCACCCCTCCTTGTGGGAAGGCAGTATTGCTGTCACGCTGGTTGTCTGAAGGAAACACCTTACTGCCGTCACACTTCTGTATAGTCATCTGTACGATTTCACTCTCGGACCTTGGGTTTGTTGCTTTTGGTCTTCCCGCTCTTCAACCGACCTTTCTGACGTGGTAGGACCTTGAGGAACAGTTGTTTCAGTCAGTATAGCTCGGTTGCTTCATCACGATAGGCAAGCCCGACCACCATGTCGAGGTAGCAACAACGGTCGGGATAGTATTATAGGCCATGAAATTCAGTATCCTTCCATTTATACTTTTCCACTGTGCCTTTTCAAACCATATTTTCAAGGTTCAGTTTTCCTTTATATCGGTGTTACTACGTTGTTTCAATCTCCTTTGTTATTCTCGTTTCGTCGTTGTTTTATTCTTGTACGGTAACTTGGGCCAATCCAAATCTCTACCAGGCTCCATGTTGATGATACCCGTTTATGATTCAGATAAAATGAAGGTTAATTTGTTTTAAATTATTTCTAATTGATAAACTTTTCAGCCAGTTGAAGCCGTGTATCATCGTTCAAAGATATAAATTATGAATTTTATATATATATATATATATGACTTACATTAAGAAGGAATACAACTGTCTCTAAAGCATCAAGTAAACCATAAGAGACTTGATTACTATTTGCAGATCGATTTATGGAATGAACATTATTTGCAGACTTCTCATTATTCAACTGATTTGTTCGAGTACGAATGGATATAACGGGAGGAGATGTCAACCATTGAGTAGTTGATTCCTGAGCACTTAGATAACAGGGAGGTGAATCATCATTCTGTAAATAAAAACGTGTATTAATTCTTAAATTCTGATGAGGTACAAATATGTCTATGTGGACTACATATATATTACTTTCTATCATTACAAAGTGAATATAATTGTGTCAAGTGAAAAGATTACTCATAGAGTAGTTGCGTTGTGTAATAGTGATAATACAATTATTACATAACACAGCTGCTCAATGAGTATTATTTCATTGTTGTAAATCATACAAATGCTATGGAGAAAAACTAATCGAAAAGAAATTTCTTTGCTCTATTCCTTCATTTTACTAAGTATCAAAATGGGAACATTCAGTTAACTGAAAACCTGCCTTACATTGGTATTACAAATCAGATGATAACAATAGTAAGAACATACCAACAAATAATAAGGTATTGAGGATAAAAGATCGCGAAAAATCACATAAACGATTAGGTATGACAGTGCAACAATACAGAAGACAATTATGTGTAAAAATAGAGGCCATATCACAGTACACATTATCTCGAAAATATATATAAACTTCGAGTGTTTTCAATGCCAATCGAAAAAAATTACCTCTCAATAACAAGCTAAAGTGCTTCTTAAAGAGTTGGCATTATTGAGATGCGTTAAATAATGCACATAACTAAACAGTCGATTATTCAATATTAGACAAAAATGTTTCAGAACACACGTATTACTCTTTTCTGGGTAATATACAAAAATATGGAGTGAGAAAATAGGTAACTAGTATATGTGTGGTAAAAAAAAGAAGAATAAGGGAACTATATCAGTTACAATAACAAATCCTGTGTAGCATCAGATTACGTCACACTAAATGTAATAATTCCAAAGGTTTAATCAAAGGTTTGAGGAATATAATGTAACTACGAATTGCGATCTGTTGGCAGCTACAATCACATACTGCATAATTAAAGTTCACAGTATCATTAAAGATATAAATTACTGTACGTAGTAGAAATATGAATATTGGTATTTTTGAAAAAATTTGATTATCAACTCATCAATGCAGTAATTGGCAAATTTGGAAAAAGTACCGAAGCGCCAATTAGTTTGAGATCAGAGACCTCAGGTCCGTTAGTCTGATATCATGACAAGTATGTAACAAGAGACTCAAGTACAACAACAGGTAACTGAAATCTAACTTATAATCAACAGTTTTCTGGTAGACCATATATCTGATAATTTGTATATTACCGATGTACTTCGGATGTGAGGTGTAGTAATGTGGGTAGAAACACACTCGTTCTCTATAATTGACAGACTGAAGAACTGTAATAATATTATGATTCAGAAGTCAGTCATTATTAAAGTAGAATTTGGTATAAATGTGCGTCAACAAATACAGCGAAAGTCAGGTGTCAGTAACTATGTTTATGTTCTAAAATCTGACCAAGAGTGAATATCTATTTGATCAATACCTGTATTTTTACTCTTCAGAAAAGCAGTGACACAATAAGTTATTTACTTACTTCAGTTTGTGTTGGAGGGTGAAGCCATGGTATATATAACAGTAATGAATTAAGCAAGCTAACTAATCCAGTAAGTTGACCAAGTGGTTGATCATCAATTTTTACAGAAGCAAATGTACAGTGTGTATCTGAAATACGTTCAATAGTAAAACATTGCAGCATCATGAAGTAAAGTGAGATAAATACGCATAATGAGAAAATGGAAATCACAATTTATCTTAAACGTACCTTTCTGATTTCCCTTTTCTTCATAAATTTCTGCACTTTGGGCTAAACAATGCACAAAACGGCTAATTAAATGCAAATTAATGTTTTCCATTACCTATGAAATGAAATTAGAAAAAAATGTCATAAATCTTGAAAACTCTGACTTAATGTAATATTATTAGTTAAAAGCATAGTTTTAACAATTTACGGAATTATTAATCAGAATTATTATACTCTGAATGAAACAACAACAATCCTTATTAGGTTTGATTGAAGATCGAAAGGTATGATACTGGGAACTAAACACTTAGATCAAAAGAATAATAACTGTTTAAAAATCCCTATATAAAAATATATGAGCGAAAAGTATTCTTCTAAATAAATTCTCTTTTGATCCTACAAATATATATCCAAATTAATTGTCTAAAAAGTGGCCAGGTATTAGAGTAAAATACACTGATCATAGAACCAGTATACGTTAATCTTTCTCAAAAATTTATCGGTTAATTAATTCGCAAAAGTCGGTCCGACTCAAGGTCCCGAAAACTCCAGAAACAGTAGCCGTTCAGAGGAAAAAGAAACTGGAACTATGTGTACAAAACAAATATGTTCAACCTGTTCTCTTATCAACCCCAGGACCAATAATAAGTCAACAGTAATCTTAGCTATAGAGTGATATGATTCAATTAACACACCTACCACCTCTCGTAGTGAAATATTACTGTTTATGTTATTTTTACTACCATACCTTTAAATGATTAGTATTGCTATTGGGTTAACATTATTATTATTCTTCCGAACACATGATTAATTATTCAATAAATTCATTTAACTTCATAGACTATTTAATCTTCCACTAAGTATTTGATCGAATTTGTAATTGAATTAATATTTCTCTCATCTTATCTTATCAATATTTATTCTGATCATTAATCTCCCAGTTTCATTTAATGTATAAGCTTACTCAAGTTAGTAGTACATATTAGTTATCTCAACATTAACAATTCTATTTCACATTACAAACAATCCTAAATTCATGTACTATAATTTTAAACGATGTATTTTGCCTTAAAACTGGCTACTAATTTGGATTTAGAATTGTAGAACTTGAAAATAAAATTCTTCGTTCATAACTAACTACTAGTTCATATCTCTTTTGAGCAATATATGTTACTAAAATAGTGTAGTGAGAAGACAAAATGTCAATAAATTGAACAGAGATTTTTACATGTAATCAATAATATTGTTCCTAAATGTTATTCATAAACTACTGAATAAAAAAAATAGTCTAGTATGAAAAGCACTTCAATTTGAAGAAATTATATCTCCATCTCCATTCAACTATTTTGATTACTGATGACTATGAAGTATTTATTTTGTGAGTGATAATAAACATTAAATTCCGAAAAGAATTGTGGTAAGTTTCAAAAAAGCGATTTGATTAACAAAGATAGGTTATAGACATGTTAGGCACTCACTGGAATCAACTACCTGGTGTAAAACACTAACTGTGGAAAGAAAGGCTAAATACGGTTAAATAAAAATGGCATTAAACACTGAAGGTATTGATCGTTCGGTTAAGCCATAAAGAGAACGGTTATTTACAAGACGACGAAATAATCCTAGGTAGAAAAATTGTTAGATCTGCATCAACTGAATATTTATGAAACTATAACGAATGATAAAAACTAATACCTACTACTATTAAAAGTTCAGTCCTTGACATCGACATTACTATTTGATATAGTTTAACACGATACAGTGATAGAATCTACTAAGTGAATAATTAGCTCATATATAAATAGAAGATAACGAAGGGTTTGTCCAACTAAATCTTCTTTAAATATTTTTTTTCATTTTACAACATACAAAACCAACTTTAAAATTTGTTTCTTTGGTTCAACACTTAAAAATAATGTACACATGTACGTATCCTTCTTCACTTAAGTATGACGTAGCATTGCTACTATAGAAACGAAAATAAAAGCCTGGAGAAATAAAATCAAACGACATCAGTGATTTGATGTTAGCCGACTCAGGAAATAAAACTGAAATTAAGATCATAGAGTAAGTTTATGAAGTCATCTATTATTCTGTAAAATATTGACCAACAACTGAGTTTAAGAACAGTACAAAATTTTGGCACTTACCCCGAATTACAAATCAACACTTCGTTTTGTAATAAAAATCATAGTGACCTATACAAAAAACGTACCTTGGGTGCATAACTTAAAATAAGTGTGGATAGTTTGACGGATAGTTGATTAATCCAAGCATTTGTAGGAACTGTTGTTAATAAACAACATTCCTGATGAAACGCTGAAAATAAATTAGACTGGCGCATTGATATAGCCAAACTATCTTTGAATGAGAGGTACTAGAAAAAATATGAAGAAAAAATGAGATGATAATACATGTCAGAAAAAAATTTAGATTCAAATATTCAATTCCAAATTAAAATGTAGAGCAAAGAACGCATTCATCGTGAATTAATACGACTAAAGCACCAAGTCCTGTGACCAAACTACTACTGAACACAGTGTACATTTTTTTTATTTAAAGTTCTTTAACAGTGAGCACACCAAATTATTTCTAATTAAAACATATTAACATAATAATAGCTAAGCGAATAATGAATACTTTTATTAAACGGATGTAACATCTCTACTGCTATTTCAATTTCACTGTACAACCTTCACATCTCAATGGACTTGCTGTCTAATAATTTACAATATTCAACCTGTGAAATTTCTAAAACTCTCCACAAAACCCATTCTGATTACAATATTAATTATAGAAAGGTAGTTCTAATGGATGAAACACAAGAATTTTAATTATTAATTTTCAGATTGAAAACTCACTTCAGTTACATCGATTCGCTAAACTGATTAGTGTTATTAGCAGTTTAGATAAAGAAAAATGACAAAAATTCTTTATTCGATGAATAAATTACGTTATTTTATCCATTAAACTATACTTTGCTATAGATTGAGGATAATGAGTACGATTTTTTTTTCTTTTAGGGAACCTAATATTTTTTGTTACAGAATATAGATCGACAAACTTAAACTAAGCAAAAATTATGACTGCAATATTGCACAGGAGAAACACATTGATTTTGTGAAGTTCAGGAATTGTTTGAACAACAGCTACACGTATAGACATCTAATTTTGCATAAATGTCCGCGCAATTAATCTGAATTATCATATAACTTTTAAAATGAAGATGATTTTTAAGAAACTAATTCAATGTCAAACATCTGTTGTAAATTAAACCTTCTCAAATAAGTTTTGTATCTTGATTGTGGATTTCTTAATGATATACATCTTTGAATATAAAAACCAAAGTTCCAGGTGCTTACATTGACCTGTGATATGTAAAAGAAATTCTAACTGTAATTAACCACTGGTACACACAGTCCATTACATCATATAACAACAGTGGACGACATTTACAGAATGTGGTTAGATAATTATCGGCTGTTTCCTGATTAGCATTATATATTCAATTGATATCAATTTATTATCAAGCTTATCTCCATATGGGATACTAATCTTGAAAATATAGGAAAACGTTATTGCATTTAATAAATCACTGTTAAAACGTCAACCCAACGCAGAACAATGAAAATAAAACAGCAAAATACCTGGAAAGCATCAGATGAACTATCGTGATTACCATTGATTGTGTTCGGATGTGAAGCACCAGCCAACCAGAATGGCATTAGCAGCGCAGATTCAACAGTACTCAAATCGATATCTATGGCTGACTGATTCTCAGATACTCGATGTTCATCTAAAATGAATTGAGTTATTCGGTCAACCAACACCGACCATACACGCAGGACATCAGGAGAAAAACGAACTGGTGGACCTAATGTCAGAAATAAATAAGAACAAGAGGTTTAAAGAATTATATTACTTAAAAACTGGTTAGTAGTAGGTTTGGATCAGATACACAATTCCCCTGAATGAGTGTAGAAAAAAACCTGCATTACGAGAATCGAAATCAAAACAAAGTAGATTTGAAATATCCCAATGGTTATAGAATGGAATTTCTGAAGTTTTACGATCGAGTGTAAATAATTTTACATCGAACATATAATCTTATATAAGCTAATACAAGTTTGTGAATGTAATCGTTTATATACTAAGATGAAATTCCTTTGTTATTATAAACAACTCATACAAATTTGAAGTAGAATAATAATATTGCATAGCGACGCATTGTGATATATTTGACTGGTTTCAAATAAAACTGCTTAAACTTCGTCAAAAACTAAATTACTAAATCTAAGGAAATTAAAACAAAAAACATTATTTGGTAAATGAACAGTGGAAAAGAAATTACATTTTGAAAGTGAAAGTTGAGTTGAATCATCGTTAAAACTTGACTGTGAAGAAATATTGCTTGATATGAATTCCACAAAATCTGATAATAATCCAATTAAAATAAGGCGAATCAAATTGAGAAAATGTTGTTCTCCGGTTAAACGCAAAATGTGTATCGTAATTGATTTATTAGACAAGTTTAAACGAGGTTCCATATCAATTAGACGAATAATTTGAGTACCCCAACGATGAAAATCATCTCTGAAATTTTAATAAAAACTCAAAATTTGAACCATAAAACGCGTCAAAATAAAATGATGACATTTTATGAGATGTGATGCTTTGGTATGCAGCATCCATGATATACACAGATAACAAATTTACAGTTTAATGCAAGGGGAATCAGTTGTCTGATAACAGTTATAAATAAGTCAAAAATCTGAAATTAAATGCACATAGATAAACTTAAAGTTTATCAAAATTCGAGAGTATTCACATAACCCCCATCAATTTAAAGTTTTATCAACAGGCATCATTAAGTATGAGTTTGTACCACTTTATATGTAGTACATGACTTGGAACCAGTAGTAAAGCATTACGGTTGATCACTAACATGAACCTTCAATCAGTTAACAAGACGTATGGAAATTAAGAGGTGAATTTACACACGCTTTAATCGTTGTATTTAATCTATCCTGAGAAACATATGATTTGACTTGTTTGGGACTCTACGATTTACTTTCTCTTACAAAACTCTTTACAATACATTAAAACAACAAACCAGAAAGAACTACTGGTCATTGATGGTAATGATTACTAAAAGCAACAAAATAAAATTGCATAAACAAATACATCAATAAAGACAAGTAAAAATAAGAACTAACTGGGATACACAAAAAGTTTTACGCGTTGAATTTTCCTTTAGCCAAAAACCCCCAAGTTCCGCAGATTTTATACATAGAGAGGATATTAAATCGATCTGAAAATGTACAAAAACGCAGAGTGCGTGCACAAAATGACACTTAGAAGCTCTATTACATTTATTTCGAACAAATAAAATTCAACAAATGTAAATCATAAAGTGAGTTTAATATGATATAGTTCAACTATTAATACACGCTGGCAATCACTAACTGACTTACCTAAACATAAGAAAAAAAACAAATTATGAAGCTAAAATATCTAATGGTGAAAGAATATACATAAAGATAATGTGTACTCATAGGTATACAGACTGATAGAGAGGGGACATGAGAGCTGTGACCTTGGCTAAGTGAATAATCCACGAGGAATTCAATAATCAGACTGTTAGAACAAGAAATTTCATCAACCAGTCTTTTCTCTATTGAAGAATAGTGTACATGCGTAAGAGAAAACGAAAGAAATTCAGTCCATTAATTTACCTATAAACTTGTAAGGAAAAATATATCTCATTCGAGTTTAGCGTAGCTGTTTCTAATAGCTACATAGTCTGTATATGTGGCGTAACATTATTGAAGATACGTCAAACAACATCCTAATCGGACATTGATAAATAATTCTTTGAATGTTTATGATTTTCATAAATAGTCACTTATTATTTTCATTCGCATATACACTTAGCGAAAGGAATCTGTAAGATTCCACAATTAAGTCGAACGGGTAGACATCATCCTTCAAATGGAAAAGTTTTAATACCTCACTTCTGTCTCAAGTTCATGCTAATGATATTGTTCAGAAAATTAATGAGCTTCACGACTAAAGTATCCAGCTTGGAGAACGAAACTCCACCACAAACTACAATTGTAGTGGATAGACTTGCCACGAGAATCGAAAGGTTGACCAACTTAGAAATATTTAAATAAATATATTGTTGTAACTTATCATTACCGAACATGAGTTGAAACAGTCGGCTTTGAGTTGCGCTTTTTGCAGGAGAGCTAGTGGTATTATATAGTTGTGTAAAAAAAATGCATAGAGTGGAACGTGAGACTGCAACATATTGATTCAAGGTCATGTTTTATAAAAGACTAAAAGATAACTTCACAGTGAACTAAACACTGATGCAGACTACTTGGTTGGAGTCCGTGCGACTATCGTAACCAGAGGTTGGAGACTCTGGGAGACATGGCTCAGAATCGATCACAATGGCGTCGGTGTATACACTCTCTGTCTTCCCTTAAATTGTGATATTAAGATTACTTTATACCTTTCTTTCTACGAACTAATTCTTTCTTCCTGTATTATATCCTTACATACAATCTTTCTTTTATATATTAATACCATTGAAGCAACTACTTCTACGGATTTGGTGTTCATCTTGATGTGTTAATGAGATGTGGTAACTTGGACTGACGCATATATGTGCCTGGTCTTACGTTGTAGCTGACTGACTAGCATTTTCACGATTTTTTCTAAAAATATCAAGAAATTAACATAAAACAATCCAGACTAACAAAACTACTTATTAGTAACTAAATCAAACAAGTGAATATATGATAACCAAATTCATAAAAGCATGAAAACCATTTATAATTGTAGTTGTATGACACTAACATGCAAAAGCTCACCTTTTCCTTATCTGGAAGTTTAAATTCTTCTAGCAACTGAATAAAGTTCTGAATAATGTTCTACGAAACACAAACAAAAGATATGAAAAGAACTATCAAATTAATGAGAAACAATTAATAGGAAAGTGATATTAAAACATATAGTTATACATTGTGACACAATGAGACCAAAAAAGTAATTAGTTTCGTAAAAAAAACAAATTGAACGAAAGTACTGGTGATTACTTGAACAGTAAGTAACCAGTATATTGTAGTAGTAAGCAATCCCACAACTTCCAGTCACGAGACAACTACTGAGACCCTATTTATTCCCCTTTCTCAAAATACCGAAGGATAGATAAATAGACTACTGAATACAAATCAGTCTACGTTACACATTATTTTTCTGTTTGATTTTAGGTAATTAATTTCTCAGTTCTTGACATTTGTCATCGTAAAAGATTTTAAATTGTTCTCCTGATTTTTTTGTTATCCTCTGATGTGAAGTGTGAAAGTGAATTTTTGAATGTTTACACAACAAATACAGTTAAAAGCTTAAAAACAATAAGTGTCCATGTGTACAGAGTTATACTGAATTAAGTTAATTTCCATTTAAAAACTTAACCAAAAGTTCTTAATCTAAATGAGCACCTAGAATTTCACTACTTCACATCATAACTAAGCTTACCTATCGTAAATACTCAACTGAAATACCATGAATAAAACATTTGTTTGTTAGTGTTACAATAACAAATAGGTCATTTGGAAAGACCAAACTAGTATACTGAACTATTGACCATACCGACGTATAACAGTAACAGAATGTTTCATATGGAAAACTAGCATTACCAGAAATGTCGCCTTCCTATGATTAGAAGTAGATTTTAGAAAATGAAAATCGTAGATGTGACCTAGCTACTACTTTGTTTAATTGATTTGCGATGTTAGAGTTTGGAGATTACGAAGTCAACAACCCAAACTGAAAATAAGCAGTCAAAGAAAAGGTTACGTTTTATCGGGCTTAGAAAGTCTTAAGTCTAGATTTGGGGGCATTATTCCAAGTCAACAAGACTATGGACATTAATCCGGTATATTCAGAAATTCCTCAAGAAAAAATAATTTATCATAACTTTGGTATGCAAAACAACCACTCAAGAAAAGGACTGTTCAATTTAAGAAAAACATTTAGTTAGGAAGGAATCTTAATGTCAAGCAATTAAAAGTAAACGGAGTAAGGTAAATAGTTCTAGTTACCTAAACCATTGTGAAAAACGCATTTTAAAAAACATTTTACGAACCAAGCTTTCCGATGGAGATGGGCAATATTGTATTGTGTCCAGACCAGAATATGTAATTAAATCGTGTGGTTGGATTAATTCACAAGTTACAGTTACAATATGTTGCCAAACGGATAAAATAGCTGAGCTCGAACTCGAAGCACGCACAGAGAGGGATGGGGATTGAAATGGAGTAACCTTTATATGAAATACAAATAGTAATTGTTAGTAGAACAATAACCATAAAAAAATAGTAATACGAAATGACCCACAAACAGTAAACGTCTATCCTACAAAGTAACTTTTTCTAGAATTATTACGCTCATGACTATATTTATGGATAGATCGGCCAATCCTATTTTTAGATAAAGAATAATATAGATCACAGCAACCAATTAGAATGAAATAAAAATAAATAGATTTGTTGGAAATTACGAAGACCCATATATACATATACACTAGGTTATGGTTATTTTCAAAGATTTATATCAGTCAAAATATATCTAATTAGCTCATTCTGAGAATACTTTGCATGGTAAAGTACATGTACGCTTGAATGAATGGTTCCTAATGTTTTCAATGGCTATCATACAATTTAAGAAAATATTCTAAATTACGTATACATTCCATGTTATACTGATTAAGACCGGTTATTTTTAAGTTAAAATGATCTAAATATTGAGATTCTTGAAAATGAAACTGTGTCGATCCCTAAGATGATGTGTTTATTACAAAAAAAGGAATGAAGCTACGACTCATATATATATATATATATATATATATATATATATATATATATATATACAAAAAATATACCTTCTTATATGTTAGTGGCTCTTGAATTGATTTGGATATTCTAAGTAAATAATTTACACAACCACACCAAATTACATCAACACTTTGAGAAGGTAAACAGTGAGAAGGAATTTTCAACTTTTCCGGAGACAATGAGAAACGATATTTACAAACACTACGTATCCAGTATAAGAGGCCGACCAAAAGTGGATAACTGTTTTGAGTCAATAGTTGATTATTGACAGATAAACGAGGAACTAAATAAATAAAAATAATAAGCCATATCAAAATATGAACTGAGAATAAAAGAGTACATCATAAAATCAACTTAGCTATCAAAAACCACTTTAACGTGTGTCATAGAAAAATGATAAATATGTTCTGTCTATCCCTGCCTTCACGCGGTGGGGGTGTTGTTTACGAAATCGAGAGGACGAAAGGCGAATATCCAGCGCGCTACCGGGTTGGTGGACACTGAGGGTCCACCTAGGGGAGTTGGAAAACCCTGATTCAAAACCAATGGCGCACATGGGCTCCAGCATCCTGAAGGAACAAATGGCGTATGAACCAATTATTGGTCACCAGCTACTATGGGACCGCATCTCCTTATGTTGCTCCACTGCCTTGCGGATCAGGCTTTTAGGTCGAAGACTCCAGGTGAGTCCTCCTGAGAAAACCACCTGCTGTGCACCCGGGCAGTATCACAGCCCTCACACAAACCAAATGACTTGTCTGGTACATATGTATTTGGTGCTCTTTTGTACCAATATTCATGTGTCTAAATAATAATAATAATAATAATAATAATAATAATAATAATAATAACTATCTATGAATTTTGACATCAACTGTGAAGAATAAACTCTAATTTTGCACTGTGTTTGTTTGATTCTCTTCGATAAACTTAAAGAACAATGTTAACACCAAAATTATTATCAATCACTAATTATTAACCATTGCAATAATATATCACATAGTTCTGATAATCTTCTTCGTCTTATTACACTATCGAAATTTATCAAAGGGACTAATTGCTTTAAATAAAACGCCAATTAGTAAGACTTTTCTTACGTTATTGATTTATTAAGTAGGATTTATTAGCTCCATGGGTAAGATTACGGATGACAACAAACTTACCGTTTAACTGATGAAATTTAACTGAAGATTCACTGAAAAAACAGCTATATACATGTTGAACAAGTTCAAAGGCTTTTGCATTTCCTTCATATACATTTCCTTGACTGAGTTTGTATGGGTGAAGTTGAGCTAAATGGATAAAGTTAGGAAATATGTACACTTGGTAAGAGAAAGGAAATAACTACACCAAACAAATAATAACAGTCAAACAAATAGAATGAATTGATAAACTGAGAAAAGAACTATACGAATAAATGATGAGATGATTTAAAAGCTGTTAATTAACCCTACAAGATAAAAAAGAATGTGAAATTTTACACAATAGTGTGTTAGCTCAAATCTTCACTCCTACCAGAAAGAAAATATGCAGCACTCCCTGACTTATTAATAAAAAAGAACAAAGTAGACAAATCAAGTGAGAAAGAACACCTAGAATGGTAAATATGACGGATAACCTGAAGACTAATAGTAAAGTACATTTTATTATTAACAAATGGTATATCAAGAACTGGATCATTGCATAACTAAGATAAATATACTTTTATGGATTGTTGAAGTCGTGCAATGCTTTCCTGACATACATAAATTACATGCAACTTAGTACCCAGAAACAGGTCTATATACTTATCTTTAGTATAGCATCCATGATCCCGCACTGCTGAAGAGCCCCGCAATGGGACGAAACGGCCGTACAGTGCTTCCAAGTTTTCAATGGTGGTCTAACATCAATCGGTTCATGGTCTCAATCAAAACTTAGCAATCTCCACAACCCCTATACTGATAATTACTATATACTCACTAGTGACTAGCTTCGTGAGAAAATTCTCGGAGTTCTGATGAGAAGCCGTGACTAGTGGAGCTAATCCGTGTCGGGTAGAAACAGGCATCTACCTCAGTACAATGGAAGATGGTTGCGCAACTTCGTGGATTGGTTGAGGTTAGACATTAACACCATTGGATGCCGGCTCAGTGGTCCAGTATGTTAAGCGTTCGCGCGCGAGACCGAAGACCCTGGGTTCGAGTCCCACAAGCAGGATCGTGGGTGAGCACTGCTGAGGAGTCCCACGATAGGACGAAACGGTCTTTCAGTGCTTCCAGGTCTTCAATGGTTGTCTAACATCAATCGGTTCATGATCTCAATCAAAAATTATTTTTAGGCTAAACTTCGTTCCATATAAAGGCTATTTTTATTTAGCTTACCACTAAGGTACCTAAACCCGAGTAGATGGAGTAGGGATGAAATCTATGATCCAGTGATCAAACGTTGAACGCTTTGACCTCTATAATCTGTTACCAACCTAAAACATTATGATGCTATGATTACAGTAAAAAGTGAAAATATTGGGTCTCAAATTGATGGAAACACAACATTACCATTGAATGTGAGTAAAATATCTTTCCCTGATTTCAATGATGTAAGACAGATAAATGAGTTACATCCCAAAAACTATTATCAAAAAGAAATCATACGGTAACAATGTCCTTTGAGAAAAATTAATATTCCATAAACTAAACACAAACATACCTGACAATTAAGTTTACTACAACTAATCAAATAAAAAGCTCAAATACAAATCAACAGTTTGCCATTCAATAAAGGTTTTGATTTTGCTTAATAAAAGTAAATATCGATGACATTTGTGTCCTAAAACTTACGATCTCCTTGTGGAGTACTGATGCTCAAGTACCGTCCCAAAAGGTTTGCCAAGAAAGGAGATAGAAACTGTAAAACAAAGCATTGCAGAAAATAAGATAATCTTTTTAGGGAAGACTGATTATATGTATGAGTAAACAAACACTGACAGGTGATCATAGTAACTGAACAAAAGGGTGAGGTAAATACTGACTGCATAATAAAGGAATATTGTGACTTAATACATAATCCAACCAATTAGTTTACTGCTGATGATTCTCGGAAAGGCCTCACTAACGTCTTCAACCACTGAAGGCCTCGAATCAGTCAGCTGTGAGACTATGTATATTGAAAACTGTAACACAAATTCCATTCATATTCAGACTTTTAGGTCTCTGTCGATAAAATAATTGAATAAAACAATCATTACCATTCCTTCATCGATTTTGAATATTACTTTAGTTGTAGGCGAAAAAGAAAGGGATCAGTTAACAATCTAAACAATAGCTAGACATCGTTATGTATCACGGCTAGAACACGAAATGTTATAAAAAGGTGAAGGATCAAAAGGATTTCATGGTGTCTTATATAATCTTCAATTAAACGACATACAACACACAATGACGAGCTATTCACGGGTAAACTCCAACTAAAGTTAAGATGTATAACAGCGTCGATACGTCATTGTACTTGAGAAAATAGTTTAACTTAATGACTACATACGGATTTTACTATAAAAACTAAGTAAAACTTAATACCAAGTAATCAGTGGCGTACGTCAACTATACGATCTCTTTCCGTAAAATAAAGTCGGATTCCTTTTATCACACTTTAAAAAAAAAATTTAATTATTGCAAATCTATGTACTGACCAATAAATAGGTAACAGTTATGAAGGAAATACCTGTCATGATTACAAGCAATAATGAGACAACTAATCATATAAATAAATTAATAATCAATTTGTAACTTGCCTTTCTAAAACCATCAATAAGTAAATCTGAATTTAAGCAGCAAATGAAATGCCACCATGCAAATAAGCGAGCTTCTGAATGAGCTAATGTAGTTGGAAAAGCTCTAAGTAGATCAAAAAGCTGGAGTAATAGTCTAGGGAGATCTGTTAAAATAAACCAAATCAGAAAAAAGATCAAATTTCAACCTTTCTATTTCTATTACACAAATATATCAATAAAATCAAAACAAGAAACTAATGATTCAAAATAAAACAACAATTTCAAAGCGTCAGACCAGCTTTATCCAGTATTTTTAATATCATGACCAAATGTATCAGCAACAAGCGTAAACACTGAGTAATTTGGTTTGAATGAATGAAAATCCATACCATTAAATTTTGAACCATAACTGGATAAAGTTGTAACTAGTTTAATGAAGATATCCAGAGATAAAACAGCTGGTTCTTCAGATATTTCTTCGGGATCTTTTGTTTCGTTATTCGTGTTACCTATATCTTGAGAAGGCATACGGATTGCACACATTAGGATTTCGATTATTTTAACTAGAGACGGTTCGTCCATTATGAACTGAAAAGGATTATGAAAAAGACAATAGAAATAAACTGATTTAGGTGCATAATATACTTTAAATTTTAAACATAATTATTTTTGCAAATTTTGCTTACCAGTCGTGACAGAAAATACAAAAGCTTGATACATTTTGTTCTCAAAACTAATGTGAATCCGATCAGAATCATATATAAAATATAACGCATATTTATTTTCCTTTACTGGTTTCTGAAACTTTATATTGATTTTCTGCACAAATTACTTTCTTCAGTGGTTTATGTAGTTAATAAATGGTTGTGCTACATAGTGTTAACGCATACAATACCCGTGATACCTGAAGTAGTATAAAACGCTATCGACACCTAGTTGTTAACTGTTATTTGACTTGAACAGACAATAAAAACAACAGTAAAATTTGCTACTAATCCAAAATTCATCAACTATTATCAAAAAAATTGAAGGAATGGTACTTCTTAAAAGTTGATTTAGCACTCTTTTGGATGACTCCATTAGCCCAACACAACCTAAAACAAACGTTCGATAGTTGAATCCTACACAGAGCTCTGTTACTAAGACTACTGTTAGTATGTAAGTAATACTACTGGTTACCCAAGAATACTATGGTAACTTGTACACACTATCTGTAGAGTAGATATAAAAGTCAACACAAATTCCGAAAAATTTTCATGTGTTAAAGTTGCTACATCTTACATCTATCGAAGAGAAATCCAAAAACTAGGGATATTAAACCATATAAAAATAATGGATTTCGAGAGAGAAAATGCTTGGCAACAAAATGCTCAAACACAAACTGGTTTCGGCGACTCAAATACAACAATTTTTTTATCTCCCCCAGGATCCTGGGTTTCAGTGTTATAATGTAATTCTTATTTATCGAAGTAATTTCTTCTTCTTAATCAAACCGTATTGTTTTATAACAATTTCTCTTGCTATCACTAATAATAATACGACGACGACCATAGTATTCATATCATTAATTGCATTCGCTGTGTTGTGTGGCAACACGATATACCTTTGTGCCAGGTCCTGTGTTGCTGATCACTGGTTGACTAATGACTTCAAAAATACACTTACACTATCACAGGAAAACAGCAATGTCACCTACGGTCTTCAGCTACTGGTTATTACCATACCAAAGACCCCACTGAACCTTCATACGCAAATCACTATCAGCCACCTTATGAACTGCTTTAGGAACTCATTGCTATTCCCCAGCATATACTGACACAAAACCTCAGGACAACGATTTCGACTGTACTGCAGTAGTATCAGTAGTATCAGCCAACTTACCTTCCAGGTCCTGGACCTCAATATTGCTCGATTGCTAATATCTTCACACGCAAGCAGTCCATCCAAAAAACTTACGATCCAGACAATAAGTAACTAGTATCGATAGACAGTTAATTTAGTCAGACTTCCCAATGGGACCATAGAGGTGGACTGTCTTTTAGTCATAACCCCTAGGATGAAGAACAAAACTATTTTATCTTGATACAAATAACTCAGAACTTACGGCAGGAAACATGGATACAAGTTGCTTGAGGATAACCAAAACTGGACCAGGTTTCTGCAACAAAATATCGGCTATCATTGAAAGCATTTTCTGAAAATAAAAGCATGTCATTTAAAATCACTGAATAACATATTCTTATACTACTGATATATCTAGAACAAAAATATAAATTCGCCCCCAAATACCCAAGTATGGCCGAGAGTGGGGTGGGTTCTCCCTCCCTCTCGAAATACTCTCACACGGCCACGCGTATACAGCCTCTGCTAGGGAACTCCTAATCACTGCCTTCTCGTGGCAGGGGGTGTTGTTCACAAAATTCAGAGGACGAAAAGCGAATGTCCGGCGCTTTAACCGGATCCCAAACCAATGATGCACATGATATCCAGTATCCTAAAAAAACGAATGACGTATGAACCAATACCTTGGTCACCGGCTAACATGGGACTGTTTATTTATTTATTTATTTGAACACATACATATTGGTACAAGAGACCGCCAATATATATGCGCCACACAAAACAATGAGAATTCGAAGACAACTAGAAAAAAACAGAACGATAACGAAGAGATTCGTGTACGGTAGTGTGCTAGTAATGAGGGAACGCACAGGTACAATCAGAAGAAATTTTCAGTTAAGGGAGATACAACCACGTTTTATGAAGAAAGTAAAAGAAGGTTACAGGATGATCGTCACTGGCTTCTATTCTGAGCCATACCAGTCCCAGAGTCGGCAAATAATGCACGACGTGGAATTCTCTGGGACGACATTCGGAGAACATGTCCAAGCCACCGAAGTCGGTGTTTCAAGATGGTGACACTAATTGCATTATCGTCTCTGTGCCCGAACACACGATGCCGAACCTCTGCATTACTAACATGGTGTTGCCACTGAATGTCAGCAATCCTTCGGAGACAGCGATGATCGAACACAGAGAGTCGTCTAACGTCCTCAACTCGGAGAGACCAGGTTTCACAAGCATAGAGCAAAACTGCTCTCACCGACGCGTCGTAGATCCGACCTTTTACAGCCAGACTAACATCACGAAGGCGCCAAAGGTGGCCCAGATTGGCATAAGCCACTCTGGCTTTGACTATACGTGCATTGATCCCATCACTCACACCCCTACCAGCACTTATGCAGCTACCCAGATACACGAACTTCTCGGCTATTTCTATCTGCTCACCATCCAGGGTGAGTACAGGATTAGGATCCTGCCAGTCTTGTAGAAGTACTTTGCACTTCGAAGGTGCAAAGCACATACCATACCTACGGACACTGATTGTCAACTGATTAAGTGCGGGTTGCATACCTTGGGCATTATCGCACAGTAAGACAATATCGTCCGCATACTCAAGGTCGAGAAGTCTTTCTCCAGGCAACAGATCCACACCACCATTACTTACATTCATCAGAGCTGTTTCCAGAATGTCATCGATGACAAAGTTGAAGAGGAATGGTGAGATTGAGCAACCCTGTCTAACCCCACTGCTCGAATAGAACAATGGAGAGAGGTGGTTGTATGCCCTCACTCTGCCTGAGGTGTTTTTATATAGGGCTTTTAGGATGTTAATAAACTTCTCAGGCACAGTCTTCTTCAATAGACAATCCCAGAGAACAGCCCTGTCCAACGAATCGAAGACAGCCCTGATGTCAAGAAACACTACGATTGTTGGCCTTTGATAAGTATGGCGGTGTTCTAACATTTGGCGGAGGGTGAATATATGATCAATACATCCTCAACCAGAACGAAACCCAGCCTGCTTCATTCGAGTCAATATTTCTCGGGTTTTGAACAACCTACGAAGTATGACGGAAGCCAATAGCTTGGACGCAATCGGAAGTAGACTTATCCCCCGATAGTTGTTACAGGAACGACGTGAACCCTTTTTAAAGATAGGGACAACTATCGACTCATTCCATGACGTTGGTACACTCTCTAGTTCCCAAACCTTTGTAAACAACGTCGTCAATTCCTTAGTCAAAAAGTCACCACCATCTTTAAAAAGAGCCGGAGGTAAGTCATCTGGGCCAGGTGATTTGTAACGCTTCAAGAGTTGGAGTTCCTTGAGGACTTCCTCCTCGTTTGGTGGATCAGTCGTCACCGGCCTTGGAGGGCAGGACAGTCTGACCGATGTTGCCGGAGCAGCAGGCCAGTTGAACTGCCCTTCGAAAAATTCTGCCCATCGTCCAAGACGTCGATGGATGTTAGTGATTGGCATCCCATCATCCTCGCAGATTGTTTCACTCACACCAGACTTCTTGCTGCCAGTGGCTCGGATGAGTTGGAAGAGCTTCCGGTAGTTACCAGATGCAGCTGTTACCTCCAACTCATTAGCACGCTTCGACCACCAGGCTTCTCGGTCCTTACGCAAGCTTTGCCCGATTTCCTTACGTCACTGTCCGGTTGGAAATTGTATGTTACCACCGAATACGAGGACTGAAGCAGTTTTTCTGAAACCACGTGCACCATTCAAACTGGCTGCCTTCAACGTTCGCACATTTATGCAGGTCGGACAACAGATAGGGCTGGCTATGTCTTTAGAAAGTCTTAATATTGATGTTTGTTGTCTATCCGAGACCCGTATTCAAGACTCTGGCGAAGTACTACAAATTTGCTCTCCATCTGTCGCTTCGAAAAGCTTGTTTTACGTGAGTTTATCCGGGGACCCTGTGGCATCTTCGCCTGGTCTTGCTGGCGTTGGTGTCTCACCGAGCGCTAGAGCTAAGGCAGCACTAATCGATTGGATCCCCACAAACAGTCGGTTGGTTATGTGCTGTTAGATTAGAGAGTTCCATCAAAGTGAGAAGAAATCGGCGTGAGAAACGATGTCTTTTCGTCATCTCCGCCTATGCCCCGACAGATTGCAACCCGGATGCAATCAAGGATGAGTTTTACCACCAGTTATCTGTTCTTCCCCAGAAAGTGCGTCCGACAGATATTGTAGTGCTAGCCGGAGACTTGAATGCTCAGGTCGGGTGTCTAGGCACAGAAGAAAGTCGTTTAGGTGGCCGATGGGGACTTGTTAGTCGCAGGACAGATAACGGGGACTGTCTACTGCAACTGTGCACAGACCACAACCTGTTTCTGGCCATCACTAACTTTCGGCAGTCATCGCCGATGTGCCTCCTGGCGTCCCCCCTTCTGCATCTCAAGCCTGGACTCAGATTGATCACATCGCGATCAGCTACTGCTGGCGTGGTTGTGTACAAGACTGCCGCTCCTTTTGGAGTACCTATCTGGACTCTGATCATGCCTTGGTCTGCGCCAATCTTGCCTTACTTTTCAGTGGACAACGAAGTGACCACCATCAACGGATTGATATTAGCAAGCTGGTTGCAACTTCTGTTGCAAGTAAGTATCGAACCGAGCTAGCTGCTAGGCTAGCTACCACTCCACCGAAAAGTGTAGATGAGCATTGGTTGCAATTGCATGACGCCATGAAAATGGCGGGTACAGTCAGTTGTGGGTTCGCGAAACGTCCAGCTTACAAGCACTGGGTTTCTTCTGGCTCCTTACAACTCATCGAAGCCCGTCGCTCTACTCCGGGTGACCGTGAGTTTGACCATAAACGAAGGATGTTACGTAAGGAAATTGGGCAAAGCTTGCGTAAGGACCGAGAAGCCTGGTGGTCGAAGCGTGCCAATGAGTTGGAAGCAGCAGCTGCATCTGGCAATTACCGGAAGCTCTTCCAACTCATCCGAGCCACTGGCAGCAAGAAGTCTGGTGTGAGTGAAACAATCTGCGAGGATGATGGGATGCCAATCACTAACATCCATCGACGTCTTGGACGATGGGCAGAATTTTTCGAAGGGCAGTTCAACTGGCCTGCTGCTCCGGCAACATCGGTCAGACTGTCCTGCCCTCCAAGGCCGGTGACGACTGATCCACCAAACGAGGAGGAAGTCCTCAAGGAACTCCAACTCTTGAAGCGTTACAAATCACCTGGCCCAGATGACTTACCTCCGGCTCTTTTTAAAGATGGTGGTGACTTTTTGACTAAGGAATTGACGACGTTGTTTACAAAGGTTTGGGAACTAGAGAGTGTACCAACGTCATGGAATGAGTCGATAGTTGTCCCTATCTTTAAAAAGGGTTCACGTCGTTCCTGTAACAACTATCGGGGGATAAGTCTACTTCCGATTGCGTCCAAGCTATTGGCTTCCGTCATACTTCGTAGGTTGTTCAAAACCCGAGAAATATTGACTCGAATGAAGCAGGCTGGGTTTCGTTCTGGTTGAGGATGTATTGATCATATATTCACCCTCCGCCAAATGTTAGAACACCGCCATACTTATCAAAGGCCAACAATCGTAGTGTTTCTTGACATCAGGGCTGTCTTCGATTCGTTGGACAGGGCTGTTCTCTGGGATTGTCTATTGAAGAAGACTGTGCCTGAGAAGTTTATTAACATCCTAAAAGCCCTATATAAAAACACCTCAGGCAGAGTGAGGGCATACAACCACCTCTCTCCATTGTTCTATTCGAGCAGTGGGGTTAGACAGGGTTGCTCAATCTCACCATTCCTCTTCAACTTTGTCATCGATGACATTCTGGAAACAGCTCTGATGAATGTAAGTAATGGTGGTGTGGATCTGTTGCCTGGAGAAAGACTTCTCGACCTTGAGTATGCGGACGATATTGTCTTACTGTGCGATAATGCCCAAGGTATGCAACCCGCACTTAATCAGTTGACAATCAGTGTCCGTAGGTATGGTATGTGCTTTGCACCTTCGAAGTGCAAAGTACTTCTACAAGACTGGCAGGATCCTAATCCTGTACTCACCCTGGATGGTGAGCAGATAGAAATAGCCGAGAAGTTCGTGTATCTGGGTAGCTGCATAAGTGCTGGTAGGGGTGTGAGTGATGGGATCAATGCACGTATAGTCAAAGCCAGAGTGGCTTATGCCAATCTGGGCCACCTTTGGCGCCTTCGTGATGTTAGTCTGGCTGTAAAAGGTCGGATCTACGACGCGTCGGTGAGAGCAGTTTTGCTCTATGCTTGTGAAACCTGGTCTCTCCGAGTTGAGGACGTTAGACGACTCTCTGTGTTCGATCATCGCTGTCTCCGAAGGATTGCTGACATTCAGTGGCAACACCATGTTAGTAATGCAGAGGTTCGGCATCGTGTGTTCGGGCACAGAGACGATAATGCAATTAGTGTCACCATCTTGAAACACCGACTTCGGTGGCTTGGACATGTTCTCCGAATGTCGTCCCAGAGAATTCCACGTCGTGCATTATTTGCCGACTCTGGGACTGGTTGGAGAAAGCGGAGAGGTGGTCAGTGCATGACATGGTGTCGTGGTATGAGAGAAAGCTGCAAAGGACTGGCTTTTGTCGGTCCTTCACGACTCCCTGGTTGGGTTCCGAGAGGGTACAACACAGTGGCTAGAGACGTTATCAGATATGGCTCAGAATAGAAGCCAGTGGCGATCATGCTGTAACCTTCTTTTACTTTCTTCATAAAACGTGGTTGTATCTCCCTTAACTGAAAAATTTCTTCTGACTGTACCTTTCCGTTCCCCCATTTTTACCTTTACTACTACACCACCAACGATATTCAGATCATGATAAATGTAAAGGTTAAGTAGATGTGTTGTGCGACTACGGATATCAACGCGTAACGCAAAACACATATTTTCTACATACTGTATCTTCTTATAAGTTTAAATGTAGAGAAACAAGTTCAAAAATAAAAATCACATTTGAAGGACAACATCAACTTATTACTCATGCTTTAAAGTGGTTGGATGACTAGTTTTTCATAGATATAGATATATATATAGGACGAAAAAATTCTCATTTGAGTTGAAGCAACTATAAAGTTGTGATCGACTATAAATTCTTACTTCTCTTAATCGTGTCTTGAATATCCACATAGTACCTGCGGTTAGTATACAGGATGACAATCTGTTATAGTACTAGAAGAAAAAGTAACAGTAGTAGTAATTTCGTTAATTACCACAGGTTTGATAAACATTGGTAGATTTCACGACCATAATACCAAAAGAAACTTGTTGAGATATCAGAGAAGTTTTACTGGGACTTTATTTCCTAGTTATAGTCGTTAATAGGCAAAAACCGTCCAATAAATCCCAATCGAAAAACGGACATCATTAACATAGAGCCTGACACAGATGTGCGCTGGTCCAAGTTACCATACCAGATTAACGCGACAACGAGACGAGAATGACAAAACAGATCTAAATAATGTAGTAACAGTGATATAAAAGAAGACTGAATCTTTGAAATGTGGTTTGAAAAGGCAGAGTGGAAAATTATATGTGGAGAAATATTGAGACTCAAGGTTTATAAGGATATAAAGCGTGAATGGACCTATGCTATTGTGATTGATTCCGAGACATTACCCAGTCTCCAATCACCGGTAACGATTATAATGTGGACCACAACTAAATAATCTGCATCTACTAAATCAGACTTACAGTTAATGACTTCGTGGAGTGATCCTACATTTTAGTTCGGTCGTTTTCAACTTTCTTTCTACCTACTTTTGCAATAGAAAGCACCGCCCGTCGAAGCAGGTGGTTATGTGTATGTAATCCATATCCTTACCACCTCAGTCGATGAGGTTAACTTTGATGATGGTTTACAGTTAACAGTAAGTTTTGAGAGCTTAAACAGTATATCAATATCATCAGAAATAAACAAATGAAACGCATGTCAAGTTCACTGTGTAAAAAAAGCTGGCGGAACTTTTACACCGATAAATTACGAAAATCCCATAGGCAAAAAATACTTTTACAACTAGATAACATTACAAAGGACACAACCAGATGATCTGAGTAAGCTCACCATGGGAGATAAGTCAACAACTTCTCGCATGCTGAAAAAGTGGGCCTTCGGTACTAAACCACTACTCTGTAACTTCCTTTCGACATCGATCAGTTTTCCAGACAAGCGGCCTAACTTTTGTATATATTTCTCCGGAACAAGCTTAGCCAGAGCCATACCAAAAGCCAGAATTTGGACCACAGAATGTAAAGCCGATAAAGTAGGTTGGCGCAAAAACTGATCAACTTGGGACTCCCACAGCCTATAAATGAACGGAAATTTTGTTACTTTACATATGATAGGAAAACTACCCAGGATGACCTGGACAGTTTTTGAAAACATGAACCTGGATCATGCAAACTTCCACATCAAAAAAATTCCTTCTACTTCTATTTACCCACACAATTACGGATTAGTTACTTGAAACCATAGATAAAAATAATTCAGGCTCATTATACAGGAAGTGGAATATACCTACAGAGGAAATATCAGTTCATTATGTCCTCCTCTAAAACAAACGAAAACACGAAAATGTTTAAATAGCTACAGGAACAAAACGATAGGATACATTGCGTAATAGTGCGGCAGTTTAATTCTTTTTAATTTGTAACATGAACAGTAAAACCAGCTGAAGATATGAGTGAAGACGACTAATCGAGAAAAACATTCTAAGTGATACGAATAAGCGTCCGAAAGAATACAAAGAATAGATGGCCTACTGTTATATTGAACGATATTTGAGTTTTACCAAGAATCCTAAGTCATCAATCCCCAGCATCTTGAGGACCCCATCTAACAACACATACTGCCTAGAAGGAAACAAGTTAATTGACCGATGAGATGATCCGAAATGATAATTCTTCAGTTCTCGGCCTCATAAATTATTCAGGTTGCAAATTAGACACTGATTTTCATTCTCAATCCAAATAATTACAAGACGCTGATTGGGATACTATATATGCATGCTACAGTCACCACAATAATCTAATGACACTCAGACGATGTGTGCCAGACAAAGAGACACATTTACAACTAAGATGCCGCATGAATTGTAAACGACCTAACACTAGGAGTAGACATGGGTTTGACATCGGTAATATCATCAGGGTAGATATCAGTCTTCAGTCTTCAGTAATAAGGATAGTAGGTTGATGAACCTGTGTTAATCCTGACACATTGCTAGTTCGCTATCAGTTAAAGAGAACATTAGATTCGTACACTTTAACTCAAGGCTCACAAAACATAGTTACAAAAATGTGATATAGTCAGATATCGAAAAGTACAACGATGTTCGTGGAAAATTTTATCATGTGCTCAAAGGCAGAAACATAGATCACGTACCCACTTAGTTCGCAATTATAATCAGAATTCCAAGACAACACGCATAACTTACTTATAGAAAGCGGCGGACGCTTGCTCCAAAACTTGAGAGCTTTTTGTGGCAACAGTATGTATCTGCAGAAAGAAATCACATGTCATATCAGACTGAAATATGAGTTAATATTTAGCAGTACTAGAATTTTAGAAGAACCAATAGCCTCAGCAACATTTTCGTTTGTCAACAGTGAAAGACAGCTGATCCAAAGCTCTTCTTTCCTGCTGTTTTTCGTAACACTTAAAACCGCAGACACAAGATGGTCCTTTCGTTTGAGATTCAAAAGTTTAATCGATCTGCTTCGTCAGAAAGTATTATGGCGTCAAACCTACAATACTCCGAACCTTACAAGCATTAAAATAAATTCAACTGCATATTCGCTCTTCTGAGTGGAGGATTCGCAAAATCTAATAAGCCCTTCAGGACCAAACACCAACTTCTCCAAGTTTGCACACGAAATTCCAGAAAAATTGTTCGTTGAGAGAAGACTAAAAATGACACGGTAAATATATTTTGTACTTTTGGATTTCGTCAAGAATTTTAGTTGGGTCTGCTCCAGAACGCATACATTTCATAAACCTATCAACTGCATTGGCCATTTGGCAACAAAAACACTTCACGCGCTGATCACTTATACCTTCAATCTCGGCATATTAAAACTCATTCCGGTGAACTAACACATAGTCATCTTTATGAGTCCGATTTCTCTCCTATAAAATTAGTATCCTATGTTAATTTTTAAAAACTACTGTATTATTATTCCTCTAAATAAATTCAAATTGTTCTGGATGGAATAGAAGAAGCTCTCACTTGACGAGTTTCCGCATCCAGTAGCAGTGGATCACCGATGCTACCAGGTAGAAACCTAGATATATTTGACAACAAGGGGTAAAAAATATTAGTGGATCATGTTGAGATACTGTCAAAGGTTCTCTTGCCTTGTGGTCACATCACCGAGCATTCAAATGCTTTGACGAGGAAATGTTTTGAATTTTGTATCCCATCTATGTACGACCACACTTAGAGTACTGTATTCAGGCAGCTAGCCCATGTCTGGTAAATGATACTGACTCACTTGAACGTGTTCAGCGTGTGGGAACAAAATTATTGAAGGGTCTTTCTAAACTCCCCTATGATGAGCGCTTAAAACGTCCAACCTCTTCCCCATGTCGTACCGTAGGATGCAAGGTGATCTTTTACTGGCATTTCGTATCTTTAATTGGGATTTGGGTGTTGATGTGTCTTATCTTTTTGCTCTCTCCAGCACTAATTATCTCCGAGGTCATAGCAAGAAGGTTCATGAGCCACGATCTAATAAACTTAAAAAGGGGTCCCGTTTTTATCATCGAGTAGTCAATGACTGGAACGCCTTACCCGAACAAGTGGCATCAGCCCTATCAGTGAATATTTTCAAGGGGAAGCTGAACCTTTACTGGAAAGCAATCTGTCAGGATTAGCACAGGTTCACCAACCTACTATTTTTATTACTGAAGACTGATGTTTCCTCTTAGAGTGCTCCTGGGAAGTCGACTGAACTAGCTCAGATGTTAGCGGATTCCAGAATTTGACTACTCATAAAGCGTAAAAAGTATGTTTACAGACCGTTCTGCTATGTTCCGTCTCCAGTTTCTGGATGTTACCCCCAAAATTTGTGTCGAGAATGAGCTTAAGCAGATATTTAAGGAGATGCTCAAGAGTGTTTTGGAAGGTCACCTCTAAGACTCCTATGCTCTAATGGGTAAAGATCCATTGACTTGGGGCTCTCTTCATAATGTCCGAATTTGGGTTCCTAAACTGATTTCGTGACTAGCCATGTATTCTTATCCTTTTGGAATGAGTGGTCAAACATTATATTATCATACTCTAAGTGGGGTTGAATAAAATTGTCGGGGATTAGGTGTAAAGCTCTTGCGTCGAACTGGCTAAAAATGCGCTTCAAAGATGCCAGAGTAAGGATTGCTCAGATCGCATTTTTGTCTGAGTTAGCGCAAGATATCATATCATAGGGTACCGACACTCCTAGATCTTTTTCAACATGGGATACCTCTCGAGCAGAGTGTGGTATTTGTACTAACTTATGATTCCTTCGTATTTGATTGTCTGCCGATAATGAATTCCAAATAGTTCTACCTGCCTTAAATTGCACTATTTCTAGAACTCTTAGTTGTCAGTTTGGGGATTTGTGGAGATCCTAGTAGTTTAACGGTTGATTTCACGAGGCGGTCTAAGCTAGACCACCAAAGAAAACCTGGAAGCATCGGACGGCTGTTTCGTCCTAGTATGTATCAGACAGAATACTTTACACTTTGAAGTGTTCAAAGTAAGTTCGTTGCTATCCCCCCAACTTTGAAGTCGAGTCGGATACTCCTGAAGCACCAGATTATCATCATAGTTGCAAACTTCCATCTACAGTTTCACATTGTCATTGGAAAGCAATAAATCAGACGACACTTGCTGAGGAAAGTCATTTATAGAGAATAAGAAAGAAAGAGGTCCTAATATTGAGCATTGACGGACCCTACTAAAACACTTCATAGCCTGATAAGAGTGAAGTTTACGATGATCTACGAAAGTCGATTAGTTAGATATGAAGTAAGCCAATTAATCAACCTTGACGTGATATCTAACCGTTTAAGTATGTTGATAAGACATATATGATTGAACCTATCGAAGGTTTATGAGAAGTCGTTATATGACATCAGGCTTCCCGTCCGATCAAGGATGGTTGTCCATCCGTCCACGTCGGTCAGCAAGTTGGTTATACAGGAGTGAGACCGGATTGTTAGGGTGGGAAGAAATTTACGGATTTTGCAGGAAAGATTCTTAAACCCATGTTCCCACATCTGATTAACGTTGCTGATTGAAAACTAATCCTGCACGCTCGAAGTTCTTTATTGTAAATTCGTCCCATTCCTATTGTTTTGGAAATACTTTACTCTATTTCTCTATTTTAATGCATGTACAATCGGTTTCCTAACTTAAAATCGTTTTACCGACGGCTCCTGGAAAGCTAAGTTTAGATAAATACGAGTTCGACCATATGATGAATTTAGGATTTATCCGGCAATCAAACAACTCATCGGCACCTCCCATGGAGATGATGTTTTAAAAGGATAGCAATGGTTGGTATCCACTTGACGATTATGACGACTCGTTACAGAAACCTTGTAGAAACGTGGTCTACGTTCGTTATTAGTACTGCTCTAACGATAGACCTAATCCTAAAATTTTAGATTCATCATGATGTGACTACCTAATCCTTAAGATCTTATGCGGAAGTCACACCATCGTCTATACTGACTCAGCTTATCGCAAGAATTACTAATATGATGTTGCCTACGTCTGGTGAACATATTCAGTTTGGAGATAGAACGATATATTTAATATGAATAAAAGAGATAAGTTACAAAACAATGACTGCGCTTTCACAGCTGAGCCATGCCATCCGATTTATTTCAACTGAATATTCCCGAGTTCACCATTGTTGGCCTTCTCTTCATGTTAAATAATGAATATCTATTTTCCCAGTTATCTCACTTTTAGCTTTGAGGATTGTGTGGTTATGATCAATACCAATACAAACTCACTCGATAGCACATCAATAACCTGACAGACACCTTGAAGGACACAACTGTACTCCCAAAAATCAACTTCGTGAAAGCGTATAACCGAATTCGTATAGCTGCAGGCCACATTCCTAAAATAGATAAACAGCACCTGTAAACATTTGTGATCCTTCCCGAGACTGTTGCAATTCACCGGATCGAGGTATAATGCTTCTGATACTTGCTCACTTACGCTTGTTTCCCGTAGTGAAGGAGCATAAGCTGCTCACTAGCATTCTCCACCCAACTCTGTCCTAGACAAATCTTTCCAGTTCTTTCCCGTTTCTATTCACCATTTTATTGTCTACTTCCAGTTCTTGACATAGATTGTTCTTTGGTCTTGCACTTTTCCTTTTCCATTCAGGATTCCAAGTTAGCGCTTACCCTGGGATACAGTTTGATGATCTCATCAGCGTATTTCCTATTCACATCCAGAATCCTTTCCTAATTTCCTCTTCAGCTGGAAACCAGTTTGTTTTCCTCCACAGTAGACTTGCTGATGGTATCCGGTCAACAGACATTAGGTATCCTACGTAGACAATTGTTTAGAAATACTTGTAATTATTTGATGACGGTAGCAGTGGTTTTGGAGGTTCCAGCTGCTTACAATGTGACTGTTTTGACGTCCATATTGAAGATTCTGACTTGGATTTTGGCTTGCGAATAGATGTTTTGAGTTCCATATTTTCTCCAACTGTATGGGCCTGTCTCTTACTTTTCTAATCCTTGCCCTTACGCTCGAAGCATGTTCGCGTTTACTGCCATGTCTGACTTCACTGTTTCAACTGGTATACTGTCAGGTCCTGATGTTTTCCCACTCTTGATATTTGTGATGACCGTCCTAGTTTGTTTTATAGCTGGTGAAGTGACATCTATAGGAAGGTTCGTGTGTTGCCTTGGTGTCCGGTGGATTTAGTGAAGCTGTCCTATTCAAAGTTGCTTAAAATGTTCCACTCATTTGCCTTTCTGTCCTTAAATCTCAGTTATTGACTCGCCTTCTTTGCCTTTCACTGGTCTCTCTGGTTTACTATATTTGCCTGCCAGTTTCTTCGTCGTGTCATATAACTGTCACACATTTCCTTCTGTTGCAGCTTTTTCCTCTGTCGTCCTTAGGTCTTCCACATATTTCTGCTTGTCAGCTCTAATGCTGTTCGTCACTTGTTTGCTTCTGTGCATTCATCTTATGCCTTTGACTTTTCCTGATCATGTTCAGCTGTTGTTAATTGCTATCTTCTTGTTCTTCCTTTCTTGAATCCAAAACAGGGTTCCGATAGAGATTGAATTCCCTATAATGACCTTGTTGTCTCCCAGAACCCCCTGACATGTTGAAGTCAATGCTTCTGTGATCCCTTTCCAGTTGTCCTCCATAATAGTTCCTTCTTCATCTAGCAGATCCTGTAAGGCTTGAAACCTGTCGTTGAAAGTTATCTTGAATTGTTTGGGTTTGTCAGTATCTTGAAGTTGTGCTGTATCGAAACTCTTTATCGCCGTTTCCCCAG